TGAAGGTAGTTAAAAATTTGTCGTTTATACTTGGTGTCAATGGGGGTTTAGGACCACTAAAAATATCAAACCCCTTGTCCAAGTAACCCAACCAGACGTGATTACCTCCTGGTCAGCTTCCTGGCCTCTCTTTGTTGAATTTTCAAAATTTGATTTGAGCTTATATTGGTTTGTACTTTTTTGGAATTCAGCCAATGACAATAGGTTTTACAGTTACTCTGCCTTTTGTTGGGCACCTTAAGATGGTGTAATGGTTAGCAAGTTTGTCTCGCTAGAACAATTATGACTGAGTAGTGAGTTTGATCCTCACTGGGTGCCCCATACTTTCAGCCTTGTGCCACATCTGAGCTGTGCTTGGAAAATCACTACTCTGCCTTTTGTTGATTTGTTATCAACAATCATAAGATATGAAAGTTGCAATAAAAGGCAACCAAAACTGAAATGAAAGATTATAGAATGAAAAAGCATTACAGAAATATGTGTTAAAAACAAATTTTGAACATAAATAAAAACTTTTTCTGAGAGGCACCATATTTAATAAAATTATTTTACAAATTGTCTCTTTTAAATTTTAATCCTTTAATTAAAGCACAGTGAAGTAATGGATAGTGGCTTGGATCGAAGAATTGGAGAACCAAGTTCAAATTCCAGTTGAATCCACTATATTCACTTATGTGCTAATACCCTTGGGAAAGGCATGAATCCTTTTCTCCTCCCACCAGCTATGGATAAATAGCAGGACAGACCAGGTTCTATAGCCTTGGAAAGAAGAAATGGCAACCTATGGTGGGAAAAAATCTGCATCATTTGTCATGTATCAAAAGATACATGATCGCCTACACATGTATCACGCATGGCACATAAGTGACTGACTGATTGATTATAAAATATTTTATTAAGATTTTTAAAGTTTTAAAAATAATTTTAAAATAAAAGGAAGTTTCACTGCAAATATCAAAACTCGTGCATTTAAATTTTAAACATGGGTCTTTTGATTATCAAAATGGAAATCAACAGGAAAACAAATGAGGTACAAATTATGTAAAATTAAAAAAATAAAAATTCATTTTCATTAAGAAAATGTATTCCTTTCAATCATTAATATTGGACAATTTTTTCCTCAACAAACACTGAATTTATAACCCTCGAATCTTTTTGTTAAAATTGAAATGTTTTAAACTTTTTCCTCAGGTCAACAAAGAAAAGAAAAAAATTTTTTTTGTTCTTTTTTGTGTAAATAAAAGATTAAATAAAACAACAAAAAATAATTTTTAACTGTTTATCTTTTTCTTTCCTTTTTTTTTTTTTTTTTTTTTTTTTAAAAAAAAAAAAAAAAAAAAATTCACCCCAAACAAGGCAATAATGCTAATGCTACTAAGACACAATTGGCTACTGGGAACGAAAGAAGGAACCAGAAACCCAATCCTAAACAGGAAACAAGGAATAAAAAGAATCAAGGAGGAGATAGGTTCACCTATCAACTCCTATTGAGAAAAATAAATAAATAGTAAATAAAATTTCAGTGTTTAGGTGGAGATATGTGATGAAAAACAATGCAAGTTCAATATTTTGATGTGTTTGGTGGCGTAATCTGCATATATTTTAATAAAAATTTCACCCAGTACAAGGTTCGAGAGCCACTCAAGATAAAGGTTGCAGTCAAAACAGTCATGATGAATGAGGTGTGTGTAATATAAATGAATGGTACAAAGTGAAGATTATAAGAATAAGGAGGACAGAGCTTAATTTTAATAGAGCCTAAATATATGATGAAAGTGAATTTATACATTTTTTTTTTGTTCTTGAGAATTTACAATAAAAATATTAAACACTATTTATTTATTAGATTGTTTATTTACAAGAATAATTTTATATTTACATTCTAAAAACTAATACAATTAAAACTAATATAATGCAATATTTATCATTTACCGATTTATAAAGAAATATGAAAACAAATTTTTCATTAATTTATAAACATGTACTAAATTATCAAAATACGTGAAGCAATTATAAGGAAATTTTTATTATTTACCATTTTATTAGGTTCGAATCAATTAGCAATAAGCCAAAATTTTGAGGATGAATACCTTTTATAAAGATTTACAAGAATAATTTATAATTTTATTTACAAGAATAATTTTATATTTACAACATTCTAAAAACTAATAGAATTAAAACTAATGTAATGCAATATTTATCATTTACCAATTTATAAAGAAACAAATATGAAAAAGCAATTTTTATTCATAAGGTCAAGGTGAAGAGTTCAGAAAAGCACCCACATGGGAGTAGTTGGACAAATTCTTACATTTGGAACATAGAGGAAATAAAGAAAATAAACATAGAGGTAGCATAGTACGTCTTTTAGTAGGCAATCGACTAGTACAATCATTAGAGAAATAATTCTAAAAGATAACTATTCTAAGCTTATTAAATCTGATTATTGACATAGAAAGGGATTAATTTTTGATTTGCTAAATTGAAGAATTAACATGATTATACATTCATTTATTCAGACCATTGTCCTAGTCTTCAGTGTTATCAATGTTTTTGCTATTACACTCTGGCCTTCTTCAATTAGCCTATAGAATTAAATTAGAATATGACAAAGGGTCCCTAATTGATTGGTTAGTGGACTATAACTGATTTTATCTGGAGCAACTGCAATTTTATGACAACCAACAGAAAAATGCTTTGAATCATCAAGCAGGAAAAATAGATAACTTTCAGGATCAAGTGATACTCATTTAAAGGAAGAGAATTACAATTATGGGCGTAAATAATCCAGCTACATTGGGCACCTCGAGGCGGTGTAATGGTTAGCAAGCTTGTCTCGCTAGAACAATTACAACTGAATAGTGAGTTTGATCCTCACTGGATGTGCCCTATTTTCAGTCTAGTGCCGCATCTAAGCTATGCTTAGAAAATCACTATAATCAAGCTACATTCTAGATAAGGGCAGTCAAAGTTGGGTATTGTCATAGAGTAAAAAGAGATTTAGGGAGACAGTGTTCTTGCTGACCAAAGGAAAAAGAGATATCCCAACAATGTCCCAAGTGTCACTTACCTTCCTCCAACTAGTGCCATGAATAAAGAACTCTGTTTATCAGAATCAACAGACTTCACATCATTCTTATCAAGGTAATACCTCACCTTTAGTTTCTTTCTCAGTTTTGTTCACACTGATGCAATTGGGAATCAAACCACAGCATAGTGCTGAAGCTGACCAGTTAGTAAAAAACTGTCTGGGGAACCCGGGCATATATTCACAAGTATAATAGAGAACACTGGTAAATAAAGTAAATCAGGAAAAAAAAAAAAAAAAAACACATGCTAGGCCTTTAAGTTCATCAGCAGGCTCAGCATAGAATCTAAGTGCCAGGAAACAAGACCCAAAGATTTATGGCAACAAGATTGTCTTATGGTAGATATAAACATTGGTCAAGTAGTACCTCGAGTAATGGTTAGTAGTAATGGTTAGAAAGCTTTGTACGCAATATTATTTTTGGAGATAATAATGTTTTAGTGATACAAGTCTTACTAATTAACCCCTAGATGGGTGGATTCATGCCTTTCACAAGGGTATTTGTACGTAAGTGAATATAATGAATATAATAACTTACTGACCTCATCTCGGAAACGTTGAATTTGTTTTAAAAAAAAAAAAAAAAAAAAAAAAAAAAAAAAGTATAATTTTAATTTTTTAAATTTAATTTCTAAAATTTTTTATGGTGTTTTTTTTTTTTATTATGCTACTAAAAACCTTAAAGGATAAAGTTAAAGAAAAGAAAAAAAATAAATAAAAGCTTTGCTTTCAGAATGGCTGAAAATTTTTCTGAGGCAATTATTAAAGTTGATTTTTGGGATAATTCTGGGATTGTGGTGTAAAAAATTAGCCTCAGACCAATCTCTTCCCTTGAGTACAGATTGAATTCATTCTATAAAGAAACTGCACTTTCTAAGTAAGTTCCAGAGAGATCTCAAGAAACTTATTTAAAAGCAGGAGTCAGCAAGTTGCAACTCATTCCCAATTTTAATCCATTTTTGGCATGTAACATAAGCTGTGTGTCAAGTCAGGATAAATTATCTGAAAACAGGGCCCTGCCACCCTTGTGACTTAATCATTTAAATGGTACAAAATTAGAGATGGCCATCTTTCATATCAACAACTATCTTTCAAATTTCATAATCTTGGAATGATTCTTGGAAAGTGAATTATGAACATTTTTTTTAAACTATTGTTCATCCAATACAAGGCCCAAGACCCACTCAAGGTAGAGTGTTACATAAACATAAGAAGGAGGAGGTAAGAAGTATGTATTAAGATTGGGGTGGTCTTTTTGGGAGATTGTTTCACAAAGTAATGGTTCTTGAGAAGAAGCTGTTCAAATGGAACTTCCTCCTTACCAGTGGAATATGAAGGGAATACAGATGATTCGATCCTGTGTATGTGGCATGGCACGTCTTATCTGTAAAGGTATGAACTAATGGAATTATGAATAAGGAGTATCAAGTGATTTTTTTACATTTCATCTGTGGAGAGAGGGATTACAGGGTGGAAAATAATTTATCGCCCACATAGCTGTGTAAACATTTTTGAACTTTCAAGGCTGGAAAGTGAGGATTGGGCAACAAGATGCCATTTTTGCTCTGATCTGGCTCTTGTAAAGATCCCAAGAAAAGTTAAACCTTTTAAAAAATATAATTTATATTGGGAGAAAAACCAACAAATTTCATCAGTAGGAAGTTAAGCTACACACTGTAAGGTGAAAACAAAACTGATGACGATTTCAAAGAAAATGTAACACAAAAGGCTTCCATCTAATAGATGGAAATCTGCCCTGGATTAAAAACATGCATCTTTTCTTACAAATAAGAAAATACAATTTTTATAATAAAAATTTTATTTCAAAATCTTCAACTGAAATAAAAATAAAAGTACATCAAGCAGCAGCCAAAAAGAATATTTTCATCAGTTAAAAAGATTATTTTTCTTTTTATTTCATGTATTTCTCGTCAAATTTCTGTAGAACTTTGGCTGATGATTTGGCATCATAAAACAATTTGTTTATCTCTTCAATCTCTTCTTTGCCAATTGAATCTTTGCCATTGATACGAGCCAACAAATTGCCAGGTGTGAGAAGCTGAATAGAATACCTAAAAAGGGAGAGAAGAGAAAAATAAGTCATTAAAAACAGATGCAGTTTCACTGGTTGCAGAAAGATAAATTGGTTATTTAAGCTGATATATTAATAAAAAAAAAAGAAGCTAAACCCAGGAGAAGTTTTCTGGAAAGCTCATCATCAATGGTTAAGGGTGTCATGCACCTGAAAGAATTAGGCTCAGTTTAGATTAATATTGCATATCTTATTATTTTTCTCACATTAATTGTACAATTACAGGTTTGAATTCTTTTATTCAAATTGCAGCCCTAAATCCTGTCAACCACTTTTGAGAACAGACAACACCAATGTAAAGGAAAGGTCATTATGATGAAGGCCATAATCATGGATTGGTATTTTAGATCTAAAGATATTTGATTGATCTGTGCATTACATCACCTAAGAGCATTTTTCTTTACTAAGATTTCTAGAATATGCAGGTTGATAGTTTAATAAATAAAAATGAGGCATCTATTTCAAATACTGAGTATCCACTATGATAAATAATGTGAAGTAATAAAAAGTTAGGATTAAAAATAAATCCATGAATTTTTTCTAGAAATTAATGCATATTTTTGCTTTTGTATGTGCAGTACTTAGTGGAAAGTGCTCAATATCAGTGATAGAGCTAACATATTAGAAGTTTGTCTGATGATCACAAAAGCATGAAACCCAGAGTCACAAACTCATATCCACACAACAGAATATATAATTATTCAAACACATTTCATTGAATAATATAGACATATGTCTATTTCCTTTTATAATAATTCTTTCCAGTTCTCTAATCATTTTCTTGATGTTAAGATGTAATTCATCAAGGAAGGCGCCATATTTTTTTTCCCTACCCAAGTACTTTTGATCTCTTCCGAGATCATCCTCAGTGGTGAATTACAAAGACAAACTTACTGTAACTGTGATGGTGATTTTTAAAAAACATGTGAACATGATCACAGTTACAATAAGTTTGTCTTTGTAATTCACTACTGAGGATAATCTCAGATGAGATCAAAAGTACTTGGGTAAGAAAAAACAATGGTGCCTTCCTTGATGAATTTCATGTTAACATAAAGAAACTGATTAAAAGAACGTAAGGATTATTATAAAAATAAATAGACATAATATGTCTATATTATTCAATGAAATCGATTTAAATGATGATATGCTGCCTATATATATATATATATATATATATATATTTTATTAAAGACATTTTTATTTTAACATTCTTTTTATAGATACAAGTATTTAAGTAAATGCTCTGTTTATAATAAACAGTATTAAATAACATTTACCGGCCTGAATGTCGAGAAAATTTTCATAGAAAATATTCGTCCTTTGACAGGATTCAAACCTGCATCCTATAACGCTCCTTTGTTAGGGATCGGTTAAAGGCACGTCAAGGGCGTAAATGACGGTTCCGTATAGGATGCAGGTTCGTTATTTAATACTGTTTATTATAAACAGAGCATTTACTTAAATACTTGTATCTATAAAAAAGAATGTTAAAATAAAATGTCTTTAATAAAATAAATTGTCGGACTTTGTCCATTTCTTAATATATATATATATATATATATATATATATTATATTATATATAACAAACAAAAAGAACAGACACACATCTTTTTAAATTCAAGCCGTTTACTTGAATGTCAGGTTAGTAGGACAATAGTTCCTGAGAATTTGGCCTGAAATCCCCAAGATTGAGTATTTGGAGAGAAAAGAATAGGATGTCTTACCTAAGTGTTGTCTTAGCACCAATCTCACTGAGTAGCTGTAAGGATTCATCTGTGATGTGAATAGATTCGGTTTGTGAACGAATATTGAGGATCTGCAAAAAGAAGAAGAAAAAAAAAAAAAGAAACAATAGCAACAGAAATTAAAGAAAGATTTATCCAGCAAAGAAAAAGACAATTCTGATCAGGTTTATAAAAGAAACCAATCATTTGCTTGCAAAATATTTCTAATAAATTTAGAAGAGGAGCCAATTGTGTATTTTCAAAATCTGATTGACAAATTGTAAAAATAACAATACAAGTCTGGGCAAATAAAGATTAAGTTAAAATGAAAAAAAAAAAAAAAACAAAAAAAAAATAACAAACCTTCAATTCAGAAAACTTGTGATAATTTACTAATTTTGATGTCAATTCATTCAGTAAAAGAAAAAAAAACTTTTTTTTTTAAATCTTTATATTTATCAAGTCTTTAAAAACTGCAAGAACTTTAGAATGGGATGATTGGTTTGGGAATTGCATCTGATTTGATCAAAAAGCAACATGACAAAAACAAAGGCTGCATATTTTTTCAAATTTAATTTTTGCCATCATCATCATAGCTATTAATCATTTGCTTGAAATAACAATTCTCAAATCCCCCAAAATTATCCATGGAGCTTTCGATAAAAAAAGCCTAACCATTCTAATGAAAACCAGGTCCTTTTTGTTTTAATACCATGCCATATGACATTTTTTTTTTTTTTTTTTTTTTTTTATTAGAGTCATTCTGACCATTACGGGTATGGATTATTTTCAAATTTAGAACACTTATAGAGCTTCATGATAGAAATTGAATGGCACATATTTTACATCTCTAGGTCAAAGGGTTCCCAGGATTTCAAAAAAGTGAATTTTAGAAAATAGTCACAAAATTTAAATATCAATATCTCAGTTGTTTTTTCACCCATAAAGCATATAAAAATATACCATTTTAAAGTACTTGGATGGATATAAAAGATGATCTATTTATTTTTTGTGTAAAAGTCAAATAAGATAATTTGACCTTAACCTTTGGCCTTTAATTTCTCAAAAAAAAAAAAAAAAAAAAACGTATCTTTAATTTTTTTAAAAATTTGACAACAAATATGGTGCTACTTTTGTTGTAGTCAGAAGAACGAAGTAGAGTTAAAAAGGTAGAAAATGGCTTAAAAGAAAGAATGAAGAGGAAATTGCTACTCTTGTTAGATTGACCGTTCATAGTAAGAGGCCTGAAAAGAAAGAAATACTTGTGTAGAAGCACAAACAAACAAAAAGAAAGAAACAGAATTATGTAGTACTACCAATAATAAATAGCTGTTCATTATAAGAATGGCTTTGTGATTTGAATTGGTTTTTAGGTAAAAGGTTTATTATGGGCCTGTCAAATATTCAATTTAATAGGTAAACACAACGTCAAATGCAACATAGCAGAGAACAGATCACAGGTTGGTTAGTTGCAACAGACTATGGCTGTTGTAGCAGCATTTACCTCCCCTACATAATATAACCTGATAGAAACAGTGCAGTCATTGAAGCTTGTCTCTTTGGTGAGATTCCAGAAAATAGATGGGACTGAAAATCTTTCAGCTGTCCCTGATAAAAATTTAAAATACTTATTTGTGAGAGAGAGAGAGAGAGAGAGACAGAGTGAAAAGGCCAATTATGGGAAGAAAGGAAAGAATATTTGAAATAACAAGAGATTTACCTGCATCATTTCATCCTGTGTATAAGGTAGAGTTCTGATTATCATGACCCTATCCAACAGATCAAGTGGAATGCCATGAGATGAAGCAATATCTCCAGTTCCTCTGTAACACAAACAAGAGTTTCAATCACAAAGACAGAAAAGAATCAGAAAAAAAAGCATTTAGAAATGAAATGAGGGGATGAGAATGAAAAATAAAAATAAAGAGCCATTGAAACATTATTTCCCCGTCTACTGAAAAGTAAAACACACACATAAGAAAAAAAATTTTGACAATGTGCACTTTTGCCAATTCGACAACAGCATGCATTTTTGCCAATTATTTTAGAAGGAAAACAAATTATGCTAACATGCTTAATTATACACACCTGGCATCAAAATTGCTTTTTCTTTTATTTTTAAATCATTTCACTCCAAGTAAGGTGATAATGTCACTAGGACACAAGGGTTTACAGGGAGTGAAAGAGAATGAAAAGACTTTAGTGAAGGGAAGTGAGGAAAAGGACAAAGTATGACACCATAATTGGTGTCAAAGGTTGACTGGCCATCTACTTTTTATTTCTAAAGAAAGAAAAATATTTTCATGTTAAAACAATGCGATACCATGAATTATCTAGTTTGTGTTACTTATGGAGTATAGTGTCAGAGGTGAAATTGTAAGTTTGGGTGGGATTGGTCATTAGGTACAGTTTTAGGTCTGTTTAACTCAAGAAGTGATTTTTTTCATTTGATAAAGGGATTGTTCGTTGGAATGAGTGACACAAAGCAAATCTTTACAGGTCATGTTTGTTTTGATCATAGATATAGATAGAATTTCAGATAGAATTGATGATGACACCTGTGATAATCAGGTCAAATGAAGCTGAGATTCTGGAACATGGAAAATGTTCCACTGAAGGTGTATATGAACAATGCAAGGCCAGTTTTGATTGGCCTGCCAATGAGAGAAGAGCTGGAATAGAGCTTCCCATTCCAATACTTATGACACAGGGTCATTTTTTTTTTTTTTTTTAAAATCGGACCCTCAATTCTATTGGGTTCTTGGGAGCTTTCCTTCCTTCCCTTCAAGGCATAGAACACAAGACCATTGGTCAAGCATTATTATTGGCTGGCCAATCAGAGCAGTGCAATTGGGGTTTGCACCTCCATAAAAGCAGTTACTGAAAGAGCAGAAGTAAGATCAAACAGGTCTCACAGCAAGTAGATCAACACTCTCCCTGGCAGGTGACCTTGGTGTCTCAAAAGATTTACATAGTTGAACAACTCTGAGCTATTTAGTCATAAATGCAATTGCCAGTCGACCTCTTCCTCCCAGGTTAAGAATTCCTTATAGAGGGAAACTTCTACAAATCCCTTTTGTTTATCTATTCATGATCTTAATCATAGTGCCATAAATAAAAGTTGTTATTTTTACACTTGTTAATAAGTGTTGTTGAAGTTAATTAAATTTCAAGCACAACCAGGACAGAGAGGAGTCAAGCCTGATCTCCAACAGTTCTTCACCTGCATTTAACGAAATGCAAAAACACAATGTGGAGATGCAGGATTGGTGCATAGTGGGCTCATCGGTGACAAACCAATGGACACGGACCAAAGTAAGAGTGGCATTCAGCAAAGCATGCAGCAACAGGGGCACAAAAAGAACAAGATTCAGGAAGACAGAAGACAGTGATTGATGTTTTTAAACCATTGTAAATTGTAGGTAGCAGGAAAGCAATAAATCAGAAGGGAGTTCCACAGGGGAGAAGTGTGAGAAAAACTGTTAGAATAAAAGTGGCAGTAAAGTGTTAAGATCTTGATGCCAATCAAGTAGCACACTTAAATTCATGTAGTCAAGACACTAGGGAAGCCATGTCACATTGGTGAAAAAGTGACTGAAGTTGAGATGCCAGGTCAGAACTGATAACATTACAGACTCTTCTTTGGATTTTGTCAAGAATCTCAAGATATGCAGCAGGAGCACCAAACCAGATATGGCAGCAATATTAAATCCACAGATGAATGGTAGATTTATAAATGTGAAAGATGGATTCTGACAAGAAAAAAATTTGACATGACACAATGAGCCAACTTCCTTTTCAGTAGTAGACAGAATTTGATTCAATACATTCACTACACTTAATGTCAGTGGAAAACATGAATCCAAGAAAGAGTAGGATATTGCTTGCTTGTAGCCTGGCATCAGACATGCTGATGACAGGCAGAAAAGGTTCTCTCTGGTGATTAAATGAAAGCAGTTTTGTGTTTTTTTGGGGTGGGGTGTTAAAATTTACAAGCCATTCCTACCCTAGTTAACCATTGATTGGAGGTCCTTTTCATGAGAAGTTGCCAGTTTTATTTTGTGTGTGTCAAACTTGCTACCAAGGCAGGAGTAAATGGTTGTTTCATTTGCATAAATACCTAATTGGAAACTGATGATATTAGGGAGGTCATTGATGGAGATCAAAAACATGATCCAAAGATAGGGCCCTGGGCACCCCCACATTGGAATGATCTGGAAGTGTGCTCATTCAACAGGACCTTCATTATACGATACAATTTGTTAGGAATGATTGGATTAAGCCAAATATTCATTACTTGACATTGTAGCCCTTGGGCTTGTGGAGAAATCCAGCATGCCAAACCCTATCAAACACCTTTGAAATATCTTGAGCCACAGCCCAAGTTTCGCCATTCTTATGTAAGGCTTGATAGACAAATTCAGTGATGGCTGTAAACCTGGTGAAACAGAAGCCAAGATGCTTAACCAATTTAGCATTGATCAGAGCTTCATGTAATTTGCCAAAGAGAGGTAAGAGACTAATAGGGTGACAATTTGAGAGGGTAAGAGAGTTCCCCAGAATTCTTAAAAAACAAGAGCTATAGAGAAGGACCTCTGAGCCAACTCAGGAGCACTTTTCTTCAGGATGACTGCAGGGATCTTGTCAAATTCGCATTCCTTGAGGGGATCTAGTTTAGAAATGATACCAGAAACCAATGATGGAGTTATGTGCATATCACTCAGTTTTTACAGCAGTGAAAATGAAACTGTATCTCATATCAATCATAACATCAAGAAAACATTTACTCCATGAAGGTTTACTTTAAATCAAGGCCAGAGCAATCATGATCCACCATAGCTTCTTTACATTAGTGGTGAAACTATCCAGTTCACTGTTTTTCACTTGACATTTAAATCCTTTAATACCTTACTTGGATGGATGGATGTTGGATTTAACGGCATGTCAACTCCTATTTGGGTCAATTTATGCCGAAGCCTTATTAATTTATGAATTTAAGTTGGTTATTTTGGTTGAAAGGTTGTTGGGTTTCATAATTTTCTGTATTTTTTGGGATTGCTTTTTGTGACTGTTTCTGATTGTAATACCTTACTTGGTTTCGATCTTCTGATGTGCTTGAATTTCTGTTGTCAGTTATTATACAGTCCAGATACAAAAAGAAAATGTGCCTTTAGTGTTTGAGAATTATTTTTGGTGCCTTTTGGGTTTTTAGATAAATAATATTAAAAATCAACAACAAAAACAAAACTAAACACAATTTTTTTTTTTTTTTTAAAGAGAGCTTTACCATTAGTTAATCCACACTGAAGATTCAATAATAATCTTCAATCAATACAAAAATGATATCCTGTCCAAATGTATTCAGTTAGACATTTGCAAAAGGGTGCAGAAGAATTCTTGGCCTGACCCACTTCCAAAAATCAATATTCTGATATTTGGCCAATAAAATAAATTTTGGTATGTTGGTCCAATTTTTCAGCAACTTCTCATATTTATTTGTGTTTCCTACGTGAAAAGATTTGACAATCAGCCAATCAATCAAGTTTTCTACTCAGAACCAATCACAAGCCAAAGGTCAAATTGATGCCCTCTTGACACAATAAATAGCAGAGAAAGCAAACAGATCCGAACATCAGTATTACTGCCATATCTGGCCTGGAGCTGCCCAACCCTCCCTTTCCAATTCAAAATTGTTTACATGGCTTTGTGAGGGAAGAATTATTTTTCTTCCTACAACCACTTTCCCTACAGATGAAACATTGCTAGCCTCTTATTACTCAATTGCTGTTTCCATGGCAGCAATAGTCCTTTGTTCTACCAGTCTAGATCTACACAGCTAGGAGCTGCACACACACACAGCTGACTCATCTCCATTCTACCCAATCAGCTTTTTCCCCCAAAACCGTTACTTTGTAGAACAGAATCCCCAAAATGTTGCTTCCCAATCATTACAATCTTAACTTCTAAGTTCAACTGTTATCCATCCTACATATCTTCAAAATATGCACCTCTTTTGTATGCCCTGATAAGAACCTCATTCATTAACCTTCTACATTCAGTGGCTCTTGTATTGGGTGAACAATGATATTGAAACAAAAAAAGTCTGGTACCCACACTCCATGCTAGTCCATAAATCCCAAAGATGAAGGTAAGAGAATGAAACTTACCGGATTGTACATTTGCCTCTGTTGGTAGCAAAAATAACAATTGGGGAGATGGATGACTCCAATGCTCGGTGCAAATAAGTGAAGCACTCTATGTCCAGCATATGCACTTCGTCAATAAACAATACTCCAGGGACAAGCTCAGCAATTCCTTGATCAATGTATTTGTTCACTACTTTGTTGATCTCCTTACGAAGCTTATCTGGACAAAGAGCAAATAAAACATTATCCAACACTAGCCACACACACACACACAAAAAAAAAAAAAAAACTCACATGACATTAGGAATCAAAAATGAGGGTATTTACCAGAGTATCCATATTGCTACTGAATGTGATACAAAGTCAAGGTTTAAAGTAGATTAATAGCAAAACTGTGGAAAAATTTCCCAAGACCCCTGGACACTTCCGTTTTTGGGAATGCCTCAGATGCCAGGCAATGAATCCAGCCCATTCCTGAAGGAGATGTACTGTCTGAGGGGAAGGCACCCTAGGTCTTGGATTTTTTTTCTTTTTAAGTATAAGACTAGCTTGATTTGATTGGTGTGAGTGAAAAAAAATTACTAACAGGTAATACAACTGACTAAGAACACTACCAGATTATAAGATCACTTTTGGATTTAAAAATTATACTAATCAATTAATTCCTAATATTTTTTGTTTTTATGGAACAAAAACAGTGTAAAACAGATTTTAGTTTCATTAAAAACAGTCAAAATTTAATTTGTTTAATAGTCAGAAGACCCGACCAACACAAAAAAGGGAAGTTTTTTTTTACACTGATATTTACATTCAAACAAGATTAAAAACAAATAAACAGTAGGTCTATTAAAAAGATGCAGATCAAACCTATTACAGTGTCTTTGATTAAAAAAAATAAAAAAATAAATTGAATTTTGAAATATTAACCAAAAAATTTAAGTTAGAAAATAAACAAAACAAAAACATAGCTTAAACATTGAACTTTCCTAAGGTCCAGAAAAATGATAATTCTATTTGACTGTTTTAAAGTTTCCAGTTCCAGAAACCCAAATTTTTGGATAGTTTCATGAGAATCCAAAACCATTGTTTGTGACATCCAAATTCCAAAAGCTTAACATTTAGAATTTTATGAAATCTCTTAATATATTTTGTAAATGTGGAGAATTTTGTCTTGAGGGTCCACAAAAACCATCAAACTTACCTGTAATTTCTGTCTTTTTTGGTTTCATTAAACTACTCATCATAGACATAATATCCTGGCCACCCTACAAAGAGAAAACAGATGTTTTAATGGAAAAAACAGAAAATTCTATTTCCTTGATCTGACCAATCATCATCCTTGGAGCAGGTCAAGCAATACAACTTCATCCAGTTCAGTTTCTCCTTCTGTATCAGAATCTCTTAACCCCCCCTAGAGTTTCAATAATGAACTCTGCAATTCAAGACACTGAAGAAAAGGCACATTGTATCAAAAAAGTCTTTCCAGTTTTTCTTCTTTTTCAGGTTTTTATTTTATTCCAGTCTTGACAAAACAAAAGACAATTTCTACTTATTTAAATGTTGCATTTCAGTTGTAGCAGAAAAGAACGAACAAACAAGCAAAGTTAACGCCTTAACATAGCCAAATTATTTAAAAATATAAAATCTAAGAAAAATAACTGGTGATATTTTTTAATAGTAAGGTTATTTACCCAATAACAGCTATAACAACTGCTGACATGTTCCTACCACCTTACCTACCAGAGTCCAATGTGCATCAAAAAATAGTAATGAGGATAATATACAAGATTTCATATTAAGAATATTAATCAAGATACAATATCATATAGGAGATTAGTACAAGTCTACTCATCAGATGAATTTCTGATGATTTTTGGCAACTTTTATCTCCATATTGTATCTCTAATTTTGCTTTATTCTTTATTTTCATATATAAAACATAAATATTGTTTATTCTTCATTTTACAGCTTTGATAATGAGTGGTGGGAAAAATTGCAGTTAGTGCCGTTTTATGCTACATGTCTAAAGAAGAACTGAGTTCAAGGGCAGCGGCAAAAGAAATTAATGATATGGAAAGTCAATGAATATGTAGCACAAAACTGGTTTAGATGTTTCAAATCTTACTACTTAAACCATATTTGGAGGTGGGGGAGAAGAGGCAGATTCAAACATTTCCCCAAGGGTATTTGTGCAAAATTTGAAAGCAGTTGTATATAAAAAATAAAAAAGGCCTTATGATAATAAAGCTATAAATAATATTTTTATTTATGATAATGTGATACAGTTTTATTCAAAATCAGGAAATGAAAGTGGAAATTCCTTGGACATATGGGGGAAGAGTGTTTGTAACACTCAAGGAGCATATTGCGAGCAAGAGAGACAGGAAAAGCCACTTAACTGACGAGCTTGTGTGAATGAATGGCAAGACAGAGGCCTTGGCAAAGGGATAAAAACTGCTAAGAGACAGCAGGAGATAGAAAGTTGAGGCGGGGCCGGGGGCATGACTACCTATACCCTGAAGGGACGTGGCACATAATAATAATAATAATAATAATAATAATAAAAAACACCTTGTTTTGGGTTTGTTTTATAGCAAGTACAATATTTATGGCTGGAAAAATATTTCAAAAGAATCTGTTGTGTGTGTGGGGAGGGGAAGGTCAAATAAGAAAATAGACTGACCTGAGGTCTGGCATTGGCAGTATCTAAATCATGAAGTGTGACATCCTGAATGACTTCTTTCTTTTTATGCACATCTCCTTTTGGTAAAGGCACATACTCTTCTGCCTCCAAGTCAAATTCTGTGGCATAACTGTCAGACCTACCCTGACGCTGTGAGGAAAAAAAAAAAAAAAGATTGAAAGATTTTGTTGTAGATTTTATGTTTGACATCGTATCTAAAAACACAAAATTAAACATCTTTAAAATTTATAACAGACATGAAGAAAATAGTGAAAGAGAATTTCAAATTTTAAAAGTTTTTTTTATACAATAATTTCATTAAACTATATACATACATAGCCATATCTGTCTATATTTATGAAGTATTGTAACTATTTACACTATTTACATTGATTAGATTGTTGTCCTCATATTTATTGTCATATTCACAACGTTTCAGTCATTGTATGCCCTGGCCTTCTTCTATGTTGGAATTTCAAACCGATCACTTATTTCGGCCACCAGAGTAGATTGGCCTAGTTCCATGAGCTACCTGAAGAAGGTCAGAGCATACAATGACCAAAACGTTGTGAAGAGGACAACAATGTAAATATTGTAAATACACACATAACTATATTTTTTTATTTATTTTTTTTTTTTTAATAGGTAGAAAAAGACAGGATTAATCTTGCACAAAGCAAGGTGGGTCTTGCTCAACAAAGCATTTGTTATGATTTGAGGCAATGTTTTACTCTTCCTGATGCCCAACTCAAACACTCACAGTAGTTCAAGTATACAGAGTATTTTTATCAAGATACCATAAGATGAGGAATAAATAGGAAACATTTACCAATGTAACATGTTTCACTTTTATTTAAGCTTCATCAGAAATTAAATATGAAGGAGAAAAGAAAATTCTGGTATTTTTTTATTTTTGTTTTGTTTTCTTTTTTATTGGTTGAGAAGACCTCAAATCTATGTCTTCAAGTAGAATTATGATACACAAACACACAAGAATTATACACACGAATGCTACCTGACAAGAAAAATACATGTATGGTCTATTTAACCAATGGAAAACAAACACAAAAATAATAACAGAATTTTTTCTTCTCTTACATATTTCATCTCTGATGAAGCTTAAATAAATGTGAAACATTAAATTTATAAATATTTTCTATTTTTCTTCATCCTATCAGGTCCTAATGTGTGTGCGCACGCACACATGCACAATGGTGACCATTGGCTCCTGTAAGAAGCTCAGTGTGAAAATTAAAAGCTTCTGAAAATAATTTATGAGAGCAAGTACATTGCCAAAATGGGATTTGAAAGTCAGAGGTCAGGAATAGTTAACTGGTGTTGCATTATGTGTCAGACTGAAGAAGTTATTTCACATGAATCATTTCATGGAAAAGCAATAAAACAGACACATTTCATTGACAAAAATGAGGCGGCCAAGAAAAAAAAAATCTAAAACTAGATTCTAGTCAACTTATCAGTATCTGTGCATTACACAGTACAAGTCACTATGTGGGGACAACTTTAAATTGGGTGCATCTTACATTACTGATTAAGAAATGTACAATTCACATACAGCAAATTGAAAAAAATAAGACTTCAGAGAATTTTATTAGATTCTAAGCACAGAGATCTTGTCCATTGTACATTGGCTTTCAAGAGGATAAGTATTTAAAAGAAAAATTAGCTGCTTGACGAAAGACCCCCCCCCGTGAACTATTGACATTTTTTTTTTTAATTGATGCTATCAACCATCTCAAGGGTTGAAATTTGAAACCATAGGGAAAAGACAAACAAGTGTAAATTGAAACTTATGTTTTTTTTTGTTTTTTATTTAGAAAATGAGAAGTTGAGCCAATCCCCAACAAGCAGAGTGAATACACTGAATGGTAATTTTACAAAATATACTTGCAACAATAGCTTATTGCAGGGAGTCATTTAACAGTATTTTCATGATTTTGCTGAGAAAACTTCATACTTGAATTTATAAACCAATTTTCATTTAGTGAACAAAACAATCATGAAGATGCCAAGTAACATAGAAATGGAACTTTGAGAACAAATTCATTATTGAAAATGAAAGTTTATGAGCCTTCCTCAATCACAAATTTTTTATGTCAATTTGCAGCAACAATCATTCTGTGAAACATTTTCCAGAAATAAAAAAATTGCTCTGAATTATATCTGCCATTTTGGAACAACATACAAATTTTCAGCTATGGAACTGATTAAAAATGAGATTGCAATTGACTGATGATAATATAAAGTATTCTCTGCTGCTATCAATAAGTAAGTTAATTCCAAACATGAAAGTTTTGGAGGTGGAGAAAGGAAAAAAAAAAGATACAAAGTTTCAGTAAGGAAAGTAATACTTATCTTGTTTAAATTAAATCAAATTGTATAAAAATAAAATTATTGGAAATAAATTTTAATTTTCTCCTCAATTCTGAATGCTTCCTGATATTCATTTCTGGCAACATTTTCCAGAAATAAGAAAATTGGCTCAGAATTGTCTACTTTTTCAGAACAATATACAAGTGTAAAACAAGTATTTAGAGCAATGAAACAAAAAAAAACTGCAAGTTCTCAAGTAACTGATTAAAGTTTAAAGCCTTTTCTTCCACTTTGTCATTAATTCTAAGCATTAAAAGTTTAGTGAAATCTAAACAAGACTAAAGAGACTCAAAAATAAAATTTTATTTATTTTTAACCAAATTATATAAAAATGCTAAATATATTGATTTTAATATTTAAAAGTTTTGTATGATGCATCTGTAGAAAAATTGATGTATAGAAAGTGAGAGAGACATTGGCCATTCCTGATTTAAATAAAAAAGTTGAATTTTAAATACAAAAAAGCTACATGGACAAATTAAAAATGCTATGCCTTTGCTCTCAGGGTTCTAATAATGCTTCCCAAATAGAAATGCACAAATTCATGTGTCAAGGGTCATCATAATGATATGTCAAAGAATTTCCTACCTTATTTTTTCAAAGCCTATACAGGCCCTGGAAATCATGAAACGGAAAAAGATAAAAAAAGACCAAACAAGCTATCAACAAATCTATATTGATCAGCTAGTACCAATAATCAAGAGTTAATTTTTTTTTTGTTTTGTAGATTCTATTATAATATTTCACAAGCTTGCTTTGTCCTTCTGTCTCTCTCACAATTCTTGTGTTACCCTGATTTTGTTTATAATCAGAAAACTATTGGTAATTTTCATCTTAGAGGAAACAGAAGTCAATAGAAACGCCATTCTCACCTTGACTGCCCCACTGTTGGACTCAATGTAAATGACATCTCCAACTTCAACTTTTTCTTTCTGAAGACTTTCAAAGATTGAGGGATCTAATTTTAATTGTTTTGTGCCTTTTGCTGTCTTCAGACCAATTACAACATGACTCACTGTTTTGCCATAACCTACAAAAAGAATAAAAAAAAAAAGAGAACAGAACTGAAAAATCCCTTTTAAATTATAATCACATAAAATAGTGATTCTAAATTAATACCAATTTCAATAACATTTTATTAAGTAGATTTCAATAGTTATTAATTTTTAACTAGTATTTCTTTAATACTAAGTTTTGCTGTTTTTTACCATGATTCCCAGATCATAAAAGTTGAATTAGAAATAAAATCTAAAAATGAATAATTATTTAGAATGAGGTGTGAAGGAATAAAAGAGGTCCATAAACAGGAAAATTATGTACATATACAGTGCCACCTGGTGGTCTTGTGGCACATGCAAAACAATGTTGGTTCATTGGTTTTTACATTACCAGGCTGTTGTTAAAAAAAAAAAAAAAGGAAATAAATCCAGAGTTGAAAATTACTCTATAGAGATAGAATTTTTATCAAAAGTAGGCCCCTCAAAGTGTTTTCAAAAATATGTGATGACATGATACTTTTCCATATTGAAGTTTGTTGATGGAAGAATCGTGTGGTATCTATGAACACAAATGTGAAATGTATGAAATTTTGCTCAACATGAGAGCCAGTGAAATGTTGTATGATGAAGTTTGGCATTCAAAATGATCTTACCTGATATATTTGAATTTTTAATAAGAATTCTAACATATACATAGAAAGAAAATATTTTATTGACATCCACTGACATTATGCTTTAAAACAAAACAAAAAAAAGTTTTGGTTTGTAGTTAGAAATGGAAATCTCACAAAGTTTCCAAAAACAAATTAATTCAGCAAGTTTTCTGATATCAAAGAATTTCTGATCCTTTGGAATTAACCTTTATCAGTGATGTCATTTGCTGTGCAAAAGGTTGATCCTGCCACTGAAGATGACTGATCTCTGAAATTGAATTTCATGCTTGTATTGACATATCTTGCTGTGGCAACAGAAAACATATTTGGGTGAAATTAACAATAAGGTTTTTGCAATTAAGAGGTCTTGAAAAAGAGTGCAGTGGAAAGTAATATTAATAATGCAGAAAGCGAAAGGTTAATGAAGAAAAAATATGGTAAAATTTTTCTAGATTTGAGTGATACAAATGGGATATTGAACCAAATCTGAGGTGCATGAATCAATAAAATCCAGAAAAGAATACGAAGAGATTCTTGAATTGAAGAATAAAATTCAAATAATCAGAAATAGAATTGAGATGTTTTTGGTTTAAGATTTCAATACAATAGCCAGAAAAGTCTTAGGGGATTCTGTTTCAATTCTCAACAACTCATTTCTGTGAATCTGGTTTCTCTTCTTCAACTAACATCAAGACAAATCAAAGAGAAAAATTGGAAGTGGTTGATGAAAATCAACAAATAACAAGTCATTAAGAAGGTTAATGATAAAAATCAATAGCATTTGTAAAACAATGTTGTTTTCCAGTAGTAAGCCTACTTAAAAAGTTAACACCGAAAACCCCAAATCCTTGAGTCTTTTCAAAAGATACTTGGCTTTTAACTGCAGAACAATTTAGAACAATAAATTTGTCCGCCCGTTTCGAAAACACTAGTGTTGTCCAAAGCCCATAAATCCTTATCCTGTCATTAATGAGGTGAGATATTTTGGTCAGATGACCTTCATGTTTATGAAATTGAAGCTGAAATGACAAAGTATCATATTTGGTCCATTTGTAGTGAATTTATCCTATTGTTGTAAAAACATACTGTATGGAATATCTTGTACGGAGATTTTCTGCAGAAAAGGTATCATTTCTTGATAGATTTAGAAATGATAACAGGACAACACTGATGTTAATATTTGGGCCAATATTTGTTCATTCTAAGTGTAACCAGAAAATTTATTTGACCCAATGTAGCTCACTTTAATCATCTGGACAATGTCTTATCCATAAATGGGCCCATTTAAGATTTGAATCCACAAATTTATGGTGAAAATACATTTTTGAAACCATTCCTAATATTGCCATGTAAGATGTATGACACTCAATAAAAAAAATATAAAACAAATATTCAATTTTCTTTGCCTTTGCCTGGAGACCTTTTCAATGGTGTCTTCATTTCTGAACATGCACTGATAAAGAAATGCTTATCAACTACACAACCCAATATTATGATACTCTGTAGTCACTACCAAGTTCAACTTTTACATTGATATCTCTTGAAAGATAAATTTAAATTTTACCTAAAATGTTCATGTTATTGCATATTTAGTGGAAAAAATATTTAACTTTTTACAAAACTACAAAGTTTGTGGTCCCCATTCACCACATTCAGTTTAGGGCACTTCAACATGGTATAATGGTTACAATTGAATAGCGAGTTTGATCCTCACTGGGTGACCCATACTTTTGGCTATGTGCCACATCTAAGCTACTTTAGAAAACTACCACCACCACATCTGTAAGATCAAAGTCTATTATCTATTTTTTTATGTCAATGAAACTCCTAAATTTGGGATATTGCTTATTTTCAGCATAGGGAAGTAGGATGACAAATGGAAAACCCCTATTTTGAGACAATTTTTTTCAAAATGTGGGAGGGAGGGAGGGAGAGAGAGAAAAAAAAAAATGAAAAAAGAATTACCTCCCATGGGATTTTCAGTTTCCACAGGTGTAATTTCTGTTACTTCGCCTTCATAAACTTCTTTTGTCTCTTTGATACGCAGACCAATTGCTCTACGAAAGTTCTCCATCAATACTTCAGTTTTTTTAATCTCACTGGAATAAACTTCACTGCCAACCATTGGACAAAATGGAACCTTGCTGCCAAGTTCTTGAGCCATGGCTAAAGCAATAGCAGTCTGTGGAAGGAAAAGAAAACATAGATAAGAACTCATGAAAAGACACTGGTCTGCTGTCTCTTATCAAATATTCATACAATTCTATAATTCAGGAAGAAATCAATAAATCTGTAGACTGACACATAGCTATTAAATGAATACAGATTTGAAATGTTCACTGTATATTTAAACTATAGGATTAATATTCATGATTGAATCAATTGAAAGATAAATATTTGTTGTGATATTTCTCATCATTAGAATACAAACATTGATATATCAACATATAATATCCCCATTTTGTTAATAATGCTTACATTTATTCCTGAACATTTTTTTTTACTGATTTCCAATGTATTTTTATCTTACAAGTTTTTACAGGGCCTCCTGACTGCCAGAATTTATTTAATGAGTTAACATCAATGTGAATAAAAGGTTCACGCATCGTTTAACCCTGCCCATGATATCATGTCTGATATAAACAGCCCTATTATATCAGTATCACTTGCCTTAATTCCTGACCCCTGACAATACCTTTCCTCTTCACTGTCATTGCATAACATACAGACTAGGTGCTGAAACTTGTTCAAACAAATTTTAGGAAATAGACTTCAAAATTTGTCATTTACAATGATTCCCCACCCCGTGCTGCCAGAAATATTTATTTTTAGTAATGAAAATAATTGAAAACTAAATTAGACAAAGTAAAGATATGTAGGCAGTTGTCTGTGTGTGTGCGTGTGTGTGTGTGTTGGGGGGGGTCGTTGGAGTGTAAAAAAAAAACAAAAAAAACCTTACTTATAGCAGGTTCCAATGTAGACAGCATTAAAATACAATGTCTTGCTCTGGGAAGCAATGAAAGAGTAAAAGTGAGGAGATGTTTTCGGTTTTTCTTTGAAATTAAGAATGACTCATCACTCTTCTGCCTAGTATATCAGAGTTCCCAGCATAAGCATTTAATAGAATTCCCTGATAATTATTAGATTTCACTGAAATTTCCTGATTTGGGGACATCACCTAAAACAGACTATAGTAAGTACATAATATTGTAAAATATAAACTTTTATATATACATGCTAGCATCTATTCCAAAGTAGAGGACATGGTCAAGTTTATTATTTTCTTGTCTTTCTAAATTCTGCAATGTTCTTGTCAATTAAACTTTAAATATTTCTCTTCTAAGGTTTTTAATTTGTTCAACTGCTCTCTTTCTTTCGCCTTCTGTTCTTCAGCTGATACCCCCCCACCACCACCACCACAATTACATTTTAAACATTCTTGATTACAAGATTGATCAACTTCCCACAAGCACAGAGTTTTTTTTGTTTTTTTTAGGATAGTCTTTCACTAGCATAACCCATGAAGAAAAATTAGGGGTAAGATTTCAGGCTATCCACTCAGGATTGAAAAAAGACATTTTTATTCACATTTTCTGAATATTTTTTAAAAGTTAATAAAACTCCTATGGTAAAATGGAAAATATTAAAAAAAAAGAAAAAAAAACAGAATTTGTAAATCTTTAAATGAACCCTGCCTCTTATGTTTACATGAAAAATTACAAATAATCAAATTTGCTAACAAAAAAATCCCTGTTAAACTAAAGGAGTGAATTAGCTGTAAATTGCCAATACAGTTTATCTTTTACCTTATAACATAGTTAAATTTAAAAAAAAAAAGAATTATGTATTACCATTTCTTATAGCCATAATTTATTAGTATATAATGGCCCATCCTCTACAGGTAATTACCTTATTTTGTTTATTCAGCTTAAATATTGATATGTATTGCTGTCCAGTCAGTATTATTAATATCATATATAGATGTTCCACATTTTTAATTTTATCTACAGGTTCCTTTAAGAAGCTTCCTGTATATAAAGAAATTTTAAAAATATTTTTCTGTTAACTTTATATCTGATTAACCTACCCCTCCTTCCTTCAACAAACTAAACATGTCATATTTGTCTATAATCATGATACATTTGTCACTGGCATATTTTCCACAATTGTCAATGATGACAGTCTATGTCCCAGTTTATCTAACATTTAATTGGTTAATCATAACACCTACAAGTTTACCGTTAATTATGACCTTATGTGTCCCCCCCTTTAACTTTTAGAAAAGAGGTAACACTTTGTTTTTAAAAATTATTTAATCACCATCAACTGAAGAAGTACAAATATAGTATTGAAACATGAAAGCTTTTGTGTAGCGATTTCAAAATGTTTTTATTATAATCTGTTATAATAAAAATATAATAATAATAATATATATATATATATATATATATATATACACAGAGAGGGAGAGAGAGATTGAGCAGGGATAGGAATCTGACAAAATGATAGGAAAAAGAACAAGTAGGAAACAGATCTTAATCTAACACGTTTCACTTTATTAAAGCTTCATCAGAACTCTAGATAGAAATGATAAAAAGCAAAGAGATGCAGATTAATATGTTGGGTTTGGCTATTTCTTATTGCTTAGATACGTGTCATGTGTAATGAACTAACAGATAATATTTGAATGTGCGTGGCAAACATTCTCGATGCTAAAGGGTGTAAAAGAAAGATGCAGTACGATGTTTTGATTTGATCTGTGTCACATGTAAGGAAGTCACAGATACTATTCAAAACATTCTAGATGTTAAAGTATGTTAAAGTTAGTGAGATGCTGCAGGATATTTTGAACAGTTTTCATTAAAGCATATCATGTGTGTATTTTGTATATATATTGATTTTTATGTATTCAGAAGTGGTATGCTAGATTCATGAATAATGGATCTGTAGAAAAATGATGATTTAATTCAGTTTTTTTTAAATGTGTGTTAATAATTGGTAATGTTGCCATAAATATATTTTCATAATATTTTCTCTTTAAAAAGTTATGTTCTTTTTTGATAATGCTGGCATTGGTGAAATTAAAGTTATGCCCTACATTGTTGTGGTGCAATATATATATATATATATATATATATATATATATATATATATATATATATATATGTGTGTGTGTGTGGTGTGTGAAGTCAACTCCCAAGGCAACAGTCTATTTCATGCTAAACGCAATCGTCATGGCCTGACGACTGCATTTAGCATGAAACAGACTTTCTTTGTGTCTCCATTACTTGTATTATTAAATATCACACATTGTGGTAATAGAAGATCTGTCAACACTAGTAAAATGTTTTAAGAACCTGGACACAAATTTACTGTGGATCATCTAGATATTATATGTATATATTTTATTTATTTTGGATAAGCAACATTTAGCATTTATTTTAAAACAATTTTCAAAAAATAAAAGCTTATAATAAACGTGAAAAATGCGTGTCAAAATTCCATGATAATTCATTATTTTTCTTAAAAAAAGTGACTGTTTTTCAATTCCCTGATTTCCATAAATCTTGTATAAGGTTTTTTCTTTCCCATTAGATTTTAACAGAGGAAAGTGTACCTACCTAAAGATAAATTTCATCTGTATATATTTGAGGATGATTAAAAGGAAATTATATATAAAGTGGTGAATGGACATGCCACTATTTAATATATTTTTTTTTTCAATTTCATGAGAAAGGTCTCAACCATAATACTAAATGCATTAAAGAGATTCCCAAATTAAGAAAACTTGTTTATATCAGAGATATTTCTTGCAACGAAAAAAATAAAAGTTTGTCATGATATGGAACTGTACCTTTCCAGTTCCAGGAGGTCCTGCTAGTAAAACAGCACGACCAGCCATTTTCTTAGAGCGAATCATCTCCACAACAACACCAGCAGCCTACAAAAGAAGACACACTATTGAAACAGGTCAACACAATCCAAAGAAAATAAATGCATTTAATTTTTTTTTTTAAAATAATAGTAAAAATGACATTTTATAAACAATATCTACAATTGAGCTATCATTCATCATTTATGAAATAAATTTTAAGTATCCCCCAAAAAAAAAAAAAAACAAAGAAAAAATGGTTAAATATCTGAATTTTAAAAATGACCCATGAACATTCTCTAGACAAAAAGTTTCAGATAGAATCAAATTTTTTTCATTTTCCATTCTTTTTGTCTATTTTCTCAATCAATTCAACACTTGTATTTTTTGTTTACAAAAAACACAACACCTCAATTTCAAACAACCACCCCAAACCCAACAAAACATTCTTAATAATCAAAGTAAATGGGATTTTTAGATGCTTTTATTACCAAATGTAAAAAAAGGGCTAATTTTACTAGAATAACCAATATTAAATTTAATATTTGAGTTAAAGTCAAGGATTTTTATTCAAGGGAAACTATAAACAAAGATTTACTAGTTAATTCAAAAAGGATGAACTGATGAAATTTTTAATATTTGACTGTTTCACTGGTTATGACTCAATATTAGAAAATCTATTGCAAATACACTGAGAAAGTTAATTAAAAAGAGAACTAAAGAATAAATAAAATTAATTGAGAGAAGAGAAGTGATATGAAAATTAAAATCAATTATTTTGCAAATTTTAAAATACTTTTATTTGGAGTTCAATTCAACACAACAAAGAATTTTTGGGGACACACCAAAAAACTTAGGACAACACATACAAAAAAAAAAAAGAAAAAAAAAGCTGTCATAATATATTTATAAAGAATTTAAAAATGGATTTAAATCCAATATTTTTATTACTTCTAACTTTATTTTTAGTGGAAACTCAAGTTTGAAATAGACACCGTGTTTTTGTTTTTTTAAACTACCATCTGCCATCCTGCGCACAACAGAAAACTTAAAAAAAACAAAAAGGTACTTTTGGGCACCTGTGCCCATCTTTGTGGGAGAAACCACCGTTTGATCTAGTGTGGTGGATGACATCAAACGTGTAAAAAAATAATAATAAAAGCAATTAATTAAAAAACATGGAAATATTAATTATTTAACTAGCTTTTTTTTTTCATTAATTTCCTTTTCATAATGTAGTTAGAAGAAATATGCTAAGTTTTATTTTAAATAAAATTTTTGTCGTTTTTTTGGTATATAGTTGAATCGAGGATTATGAGGACATTAGTAGTCAGAATGTAAATAATACTAATTAACTGAAAGAATTTTATTAATGAATTCAAGTTAAGGAAAAGTGAAACAAAAACAATTCAAACTCTAGCGGTATTTTTTCTTTTATTTGTCATAAATTCCAAGCCATAAATAATTTACGGATTTAAATTCCTTTTTATCAAAGGAATTTTGTCGAAAAATTAAATTCAAAGCACTTCTTTTCCTGATTGAAAAAAAAAAAAAAAGATCATCAGTCTAATTTTCTAGAAATCATTTCAAGTCAGTGGAAAACAAAAAGTAAATTGCCGTTCAAAGAGTTTTATTTAAATTTAAAAATCACTGCGTTTTTTTGTTTTTCTGTCTTCAGCCAGGATCTCAGTCTTTTGTGATCTTTATTATGTTTAAACGACAGGCAATACCACCTTGTACTTAAGTGTACTAAGAAAAGGGTTAAAAATCCCTTAGACCTGAACTGAAGAGTTTTGAGGGGAAGGGTCGAGGAGCTTTAAAAAGGGTTTGGCGGGGACACAAATATCTCTAATTCGATTCGTTTAAAAAATATCGTTAAAAAAAGACTAAAATCTAGTTAATAAAAAAACAAAAACAAAACACTTGGAAATAAGCAAAAAAAAAAAAACAAACTTATTCAATAAGTCTGAATTTTTATTGTCGATATATAAAAAAAAAACCTAAACGGTAGATTTCCACAAACTTAGACTCTTCGAAATTAGCATGTGTAAATTTTCAGGAAATTTTAATAATCACAATTGGTGTGCGGTGCTTAAACTGCAAATTTACCTTTTTATCTTAAAATATTTGATCGGAAAAACGTGAAATAATCCTACTGCACGGAAGATGTCCATTGCAAAATTGACGGTTTAACTTAAAATTTGACATTTTTAGTTTGAAATTTTATCAGAAAAAGTAACTGTAAGCGTTAGTTTTACAATCCAATTATTATAGAAAAATAAAAATTAAGTTTTAAAACATTTTTAATTTTAAAAACCAATGAAACAAAAAAGCTTCTAGAAAAAAGCAAACAAAACAATATGAAACGATAAATAAACCGAAACGTTTAATCTCGAAGTTTCTCTAAAAATTGAACACGACACATAGAAATTAGAATTGGAAGATTGTGTTGCGACAAGAATATAAATAGTGATGGCTTGCCACTCTGGCTTGAAAATTAAAATTCGAAATACAGGCTTAAAAACACACAAAAAAAAACAAAAAAAAAAAAAAAAACTTCAAGTCAAACACCAACTTTGTGCATAAGTAAAAAAAAAACATGTTTCATCTTGTCTGAGGTGAAACAATTCCAAGGATTTGGGGTCGAAAATATGTCGATTTTCCCAACAAATTAATGAAATTATTTCACCATCAATTTAGATTTTAGATTTCTTGAAGTAAACAAATATTTAATAATCAATGATTAATTAAATAAAATTTAACTTTTTGTTTTTACTGTCTTAAACTTTCAACAAATATTCCTTATAAAATTTTTTTTTATTATACCATAACACTTTCAGCTTCAGGAATTTTATTTTAAAAGTTGTTTTAGTTCGTTTTAATTTCTTTTTTAAATACTGAAAGTAAAACACTTAATTTATAAAAAACTTATTTTTAGTTTTTTTTTGTTTTTTTTTTTTACATGAAATGTAAAATAAAATTATGCCATTTTTTCGTTCTTTTAAAAATAAACATTTTTATTTTAACTAACACTTAAAAGTCTTACTCTTAAATGACCGAAGATATTTCAGTGAAAAACCTTGGTCAGTTGCGTTGAGTAAATGAATGAATAAATAAATAGTATTCATTTATATTGATTAATTTATAACTTGTTTATTAATTTATATTTGCATAGTTGATTTATTTTTTGAGCCGATCCATTTTGGTTATGCACGAAAGTTGGGTCTCGTTGGTAACTAAATTTCTTATTTAGTTAGTTCATATTTTATTGTTATACGTTATCTATAGTATATACATTTCATAGTTGACGTAAAAACGACTGAGTGAATAACAGATGGAAGGTTCATAAAAAAATAAAAATGAAATAAAAGATAACAAAACAAAACTGGGTATTGTAGAGTTTAGCATCCGAAACAATATTGAATTATCTTCCTGAAATTGCTTCACCAAGACTCATATTCTGAGCATAGCCAGACTTTGAGAGAAATGGGATTAAAAATAAAAATATATCCGCAATTTTTTGTTTTTACACAGAGAGTAATAATGCCGATTAAAAAAAAAAATACTCTTTTGTGTTTTATTTCTGATGCAAGATTTTTTATTCAGATACGAAGAATGTTCCAAACTTTGATTTTTCGTTTTACAAATTGTAAATATTAAATCACAAAAAATAAGTTATATTTCAGTTTTTATTCGCGGAAAAATGTGCACTCACAATATGAGGTAAGGTAAGTAAACATAAAGTATTAAATACGCTATTTATTTATGCGAAAATTGTTTCAGACATTATCAAAATCGGCGATAACCATAAAGTTCAAATTAATCAATCATAAAATTATGCATAATAACAAGAGAGAAAAAAAATAAGCCTTATAATTTTTGTGTTTGTGAACAACACAACTTAGAATAAATAAGAAAAATTGCGTGTAATAACGAGAAATTCAAATGAACTCAAAACAATTTATTGATATTCAGACCTCTCTTGCAAGTTCTTGTCCAACAAGTCCTGCGGCTGTTTGTATAGCATAACCATTTTCATCCAATCCAAGACCTTTGATATGACTGTGGGTAGCAATACGTTGCGATTTAGACGTGCTTTTAACTTCTTCGATTTTCATTTTCGGATTTTTTCAAGTTGCGATTTCGCGAAGACACCAAACGCACATGTAAATTCCGCGATGTAACAATGGCGACTACAAGTGCCGTAAAGCGACCCCAGATAACCACTCTCTTTTACGACAATACGTTTAGTAACTATCTCATCCTGCTCCCCACACTCCTACTACCACTATTCCTCTATCTACAATATAAAATTAAAACTCAACTTTATTTCTGTAATTATTTATTTTTTTATGAACTATTTGAACACATCTTTACTTATTTCGTCATCAAAGCGTTCAGATCAATTTTTTCAAAAATTAAAAAAAATAGAATTAAATGCGATAATTTTCATCAATATGCTAACTAAGTTTACGCACATTTATTTTATAATTTCTCTTAATAAATTAATAAATTTTTACATTTAAAATATATTTATTCTAATTTATTTTTCTTTTGAAATTTGTATGTTTTTCAACGGTCGTCAGTGATAACTAAATTACCATAGCAACAGTTGTTAAGCAAACCCGCGCCATTCGATCCATATAAACAACTTATCCTTCCCCTTCGTTGGTTCTGCGAAAATACAATAATCTCTGTTCGATACACAGGACACATATCGACCAAACATCACGGTAATAATCAAATTTATTCAATATTGTCAGAAAGCACTATTATATGCTACTTTTAGTAGACAAGGTCCCAGGAGAAAAGAAAAAAAAGAAGCCATCCTGGTTTCATTGTCATTTTTGTGCGTGTAAGTGCCGTGTTATGTCGTAGTGGCAATGATATCAAATTCACTGCCTTAGTTTTTATTGTTTAATCTACGTAGAGGTAAATTAAATGTAATCAATTTTTAATGAATGAATACCTGATTACTTTATTCATTGATGCAATTAATGGGTATCTTTTTACTTTTGGTAAATAAAAAAGTATAATAAAAAGGTTACATTTCTGTTTTCTCATATCTATCTATCTATCTATCTATCTATCTATCTATCTATCTATCTATCTATCTATCTATCTGATTCTGTTCTCTATCTATCTATCTATCTATCTATCTATCTATCTATCTATCTATCTATCTGAGTCTGTTCCTATCTATCTATCTATCTATCTATCTATCTATCTATCTATCTATCTATCTATCTATCTATCTATCTATGTCTGTTCTTATCTATCTATTTATCTGTCTGAGTTTGTTCATATCTATTTACACTTGAGGTTGAAATAGACTGGGTGGCTGGAATAAAAGAGGTGGCTGGTATGAAAGGGGTGGCTACAAAATTTATGAATACAAAATAAAAGAGATGAGTGTCACTGTAAAGAAACACGGTCAAAATTACGTGCAGGGGAGGAAAAATTCTTGAATAAAATGGGTTGATTGGAATAAGGATATCTATCTATCTATCTATCTATCTATCTATCTATCTATCTATCTATCTATCTATACAGATATATCTATCTATCTATATATCAATCTATCAATATATCTATAGATATATCAATCTATTTATATATCTATCTATCTAGATATATCTATAGATATATATATATACCAGATATCTATCTAGATATATCTAACTTTATATATATATCTATCTATCTATCTATCTATAGATATATCTATCTATCTATCTGTAGATCTATCTATCTATCTATCTATCTATCTATCTATCTATCTATCTATCTATCTATCTATAACTCTCTATCTATCTATCTATCTATCTATCTATCTATCTATCTATCTATCTATCTCTCTTAATCTCTTTGTATCCATTTGCAAAGGTCTTTCAGTTTTGACTTTCTTTAAAATTTAATACAATTCATTACTTGCAGCAAACATATGCACAAATAACAATGACACATGGACATACAGAAATACTCATATAGGTTCACAAACATGCAAATATATGCACCCCTCCATACACAATCATACATGTTGAAAATAAAACTTTCCATCTACATCAAATAGAAAAGAGTCCATGTACAGTATAACTGGTATTTAAAGTCATAGAATGGTAAGTGTGTGAAAATTTAGCCTTGTAAATTGCCCACAATGAAAACAGTAAGGAAAAGAAAAACAGAGAAAGTAAATTATAACATTTTTATAATTAATAAATTGTTGAGGTGATTTTTATGAAAAATTGATTCTTTTACACCAGTTTTTCCTTATGAAGACAATTTTTGTATGACAGGAATTAAACACTGGAAGATCTCTTACTACTTTAACTCGGGTTTTTACACTGACTTTTACTCTAACTGACTACTTGATACATTTATTTATATATGGTGTGCAGATGTAGTATTAAACACAAGAATGTTTTTAAAAAGTGCTTGAATCTGTGTGCTACTTGAAGAGTGTATCATTTCTAATAATCAGCGAAAGATGGGTGAAATTTGCAAGCCTGGTTTGTGTGAATGAGGTCGGACTTGATTTCCTTTTTTAGTCTCCTTTAGATACAACATGACGGTTTCCTGATGGACCCCTCTCCTTGTTAAGCTAGAATTTTTTCTTTACCTAGTTATTGTGAGCAACTGTTATCTCTTTTGTTATTTTCCAAGTCAATATTCCTAACCCCTCTAGTTTATTTTTTCTCCCCTTTTTATCTTGATTGGATCAACCTTTGAATTTCCTATTCTGTAATTTATTTTGTCCCTCCCTTGCTTCTAGTGAGTGAGCTGCTTGATTCTGCTTAGCAGCAGAATATAGTGCCACTGTTATTTTTCTGTAGAGTCCTTTTTTTTTTACAGTAAGATTTACTTTTTACAAGGACTGGGGGCCACTTGAGGTAGACAGTTATTTTAGGAGGCCATTTGTGTTTATAGGAATGGAAAATAATAGTCAACCCTAGCCTTGAACAGGTTAAGATTGTAGTGATTGGGAGTCAGTTCCATAGGGCAGTGGTTTGCAGGAAGAAGCGGGGATGTGGATGGTTTGCTACTATGTAAGTGACATGGCATGTTCTTGATGTGAAAGTTTGACTTGGCAGGACCAGAGAATGTAGTTTGTCCTAGTACTTGCCGTGGAAGTAGCAGTAAAGTAAAGAGATTTTTTGCTTTTCTAGGTATTTGACAACCTGCTTATTGATTATGGCCTCAAAAAGCTTACTGATGAGACTGATGGGTCTGTACTGGGAGGGAGAAGATTGCACCCTTGTATTCTTGAAAACTGAGAATACACTTGACACCTATCACATGTTTAGGAAGGATTTCTTCTTTAAGCAGCAGTTGAATAACTTTGCTAGGATTGGGGATAATTCCGGGTTGATAAGAATATCAATAACTTAATATCCCAGAAAAAATTCCAGTGGTTGTCCAGCCACTGGAATTTTTTCTGGGCCACTGGCTTTTTTAGGGTCAAGGCCTTTGATAAGTCTTCTTGTGCTGTAATGGTAATATTACTGAGATTGTGCTCCGTGAGACATGGGAACTTGGGAAGGGGATAACGTCATCTAAAGATAGAGGTGAAGATGTTCACCTTATTTGTCAAGGAAGATATGACCTTGGGGCCATTTATAATTGGGGGAAGAGCCACTTTACTTCTGTTCATGATTTGGTTGGTGATCTTTCAGAATTTGTGGGATCCAATTTGTATCTTTTCAACCTTGTTCTGGACTGTTCATGTGTAGCTGCACTTGACATTTTCTAGATTGTTTTTGCAGTGATTGTGGGCAGTTCTGAATGCAGTGAGGGCTAAACTACATTGCCCCTTGCTAAACATATATATATATATATATATATATATATATATATATATATATATATCGTGCACAGGCCAGTAGATGTAAATTTACACTGTTTAAAAAATCAAGGATATCTACTCAAATACATCTATCTGGTAAATGATTCAATTATTAGGGAATAATATTAGATTATAAATAAGACCCATTAATTCCTTAGAAATTCTTTGTTTCTGCTTTGGATACAAAAATAATATTAGTAGACATGGGCTTCGAGAAATATGCATTTCTTTAATTCAGTAAAGGAACATTGCTTTCCATGGTTGAATGGTCTTTAGTGCACATGGTTTATAAAAGAGAGTGTAGGTTTGGAATCCTTCCCATGAAGGTATATTCCCTTTACTAAAACATTCAAAGGAATAGCTACTCAGCATTCATTCAGGGGTGAACCAGGGTTGACTGTTTGGTTTTTTCTGGAATTTAGTGGTGGGAGTATAAAAGTCCAATCAGTGATAAGGGCAGCAGTTTTGGATGCAGCGTGTTTGAAGAAGGTTGGGAAGGGATCTTCTGTTATGTACGACTGAAAGCAGTCCCAGTCTGCCTATGCATAGTGAAAAACCGTACTATGGAACGGTACATCAGGGGATGCCTTAAGTTTTGCATCAGTCTGGACACTGATTAGGGAATGGTCTGACATGCCTAAGGCAGGGAAAACTTTTCCTAAGCATTTATCAGGGCAAGTGGTTAGGAAGAGGTTGAGAAGGTTCACCTGATGTCCCATTGTTTCCAGGATCCGGGTAGGTTCTTCGTTGATCTGAGTTCATAGACAATGGAGAAGTTTCTGTAATATTTGCCTTCAACGTCGGTTTTGTTGGAATGGACTAGCCATTCTTTATGATGGATATTGAAGTCACTGCAAATATGAAAGCTGGCTGAGGGAAATTGAGTGAGGATATTTTCAATCTTCTCAGATATTTGGTCGAAGATTACCATCTCTTCATCCTGAGAGCAATAGAGAGCAAAGATGAATGTGGTACTATGGATGATTGTCATGCAGAAGCACATATATAGGAGATTGGGTTCCTTTTTTTTTGCGTACATGCCACAAGTAAACTTGGCTTTGATGTAGGCTCTGAGTCTGTGGCTGTGACAATATAGATGGTTGTCTTTAGCTATAAGAACTGAATAATAATTGTGAAATGAGATGAATTGAAAAAATCCCAATCATTTGACATCAGGAATAAAATGAATAAATTATTCCAAGCAATTATGTTGCTTAAGTTGCTAAAATAAAAGGTCAGAGATCATAACAGAATGTAAGAAAGTTTCTACTAGAAACCTATGAAGCTGGGTAGGAGAATTTATATAAAATATGTTAATTTGTTTTCTTCTTTCCCTCCTCTCTTTACTTCTTTCTTTCTCCCTCTTACCAGTGACATAATTATGTATATAAGAATGCCTTGGGATGAAATATCCAATTTTTCCTGATTGGTAGAAACCATGCTAGCAGGAAGGTTGGGTTTATAAATATTTTATGTCATATATATATATATATATATATATATATATATATATATATATATATATTATATGCAAAAAAAACAAAAGGAAAACTTATTTTAGCCAACATGTTTTGTCCTCTGATGGACTTTATCAAGGGAAATGTGAGGATTTTCTTTTGTAACAAGAATTTAAAAACAAAAGTAAAAATGTTAGTTTTTCAAAATTTTTAAATTTGGGAGATGCTCATAAATATTCATTAGGTAAATTATGGAAGATGCTAAGTGACATAATTTAATGTCTAATAAATGAACATGAGTAAATGATGTTGAAAATTTTATGAAATTAATATTTAAATTATTTTAGTATGGGATAATATTTATATATATATATATATATATATATATATATATGCACATTTCATTGAATATGACAGACAAGGTGCTTTGATTTAGTTTTTTATACAATTTCTCATGTGATCTAATAATTTTTTTTTCAGATAATAAATTATATAAAAATTGTACGAATGTTTTTTTTTCTGAGCACTTTCAGCTATACATTTATCCATTTTCAAGGATGAAATATTTTAACAGTTAAATAAGAAATAGTTTGTTGCATGTATGTATTTATATAATGTTTTCATTTTTTTCTTCAAAACACGGTCAAGATATTGTGTCCATGTTCATAGTTGATATTATTGTGTGTTGTTTTTTTGTTTTTATTAATAAGGTTTCCATTATTTTTAGCCTAAATATTTTTATTAGCTACATATTTACCTAAATTTTTAGCTAACTGTGTAATTGAAAGTGCTCGGAAAAAAAGAACATTTGGACAGTTTTTATATAATTTATCATCTGAAGAGAAAAAAATTATTAGATCACATGAGAAATTGTATAAAAAAACTAAATCAATGCACCTTGTTTGTCATATGCAATGAAATGTGTATGAAAGAAGGATTGCTGCCAGTGTGTGTGTGTGTGTGTGTGTGTGTGTGCACTTTTTTAAAATAGCAAGAGGTTATGAATGTAATTGTTTACTTTTCATTTTTTAATATTTATAGTCATGTTTGTTGGTTTGGGATAAGAGTAATTCTTTCAGGAATGGAGATATTTGAAAAAATGTTAGGCACAGTTTTATATTTTGATAAGATTTGATAGTGGCATTCTGGAGAATTTTCTGTCTAAGTAGGTTACTTTCTCTTTTAATAAAGCTGTGGTTGAATTTATTTTTATGTATAACTAATGCATCTGATGGATTGTCATGTATAAGATCCTTTTTGTGTTCATAGATACATTTTGTTTTAATTTCTGCAAGTTTCCCCAATGTATTATGAAGAGCAGTTGTGACAATTTATTTTATATATACCTGCTTCAGAATTATTTTTGTGATAGGTATTTTGATATTGTTAAGATTGAATAAATTGTTTTGGATAGTGGATGTTAAGGAGTTGGTAGGTAGTATTATATGTCTGTTTTATCTAGTTTATTATCATTGTTATTGTTGTTAATAATGTTATTATATTTTTGGGGTTTATATATATATGGAGAGAGAGGAGGCATGGTGGAGTAATGGATAGTGGCTCGGATTGAGGAATCAGAGAGCTGAGTTTGAATTCCAGTTGAATCCATTACATTCACTTATGTGCTAATACCCTTGTGGGAAGGTATTAATCCTCTTCTTCTTCCCCCAGTTATGGGTAAATAGCAGGACAGACCAGGTTCTTGGATGGCAACCGGTCTACTGCAGAAATAAATGGCAACCTACTGCGGGAAAAAATCTGCCTCGTCAGTCATGTATCGAAAGATACATGATCACCTAACATGTATCACGCATGGCACATAACTGACTGATATATATATATATATATATATATATATATATATATATATATATATATATATATATATATATTTGTGCAAGACTCTCTTTCTTCATAATCTATTCAATTTCCTTTATGTTTGAAGATGGAGAAAGCAAGTGAAGAAGAAGCCGGTGATAAAGAAGTTAAAGAAGGTGATGTTGGCCCATTTGACAGTGTTTCTGAAGTTCCTGAAGAATCGGATGACTTGATTGTAGCAATTCCTCCTCCATTTGTACAACATACTGAAGAACAAACGGAAGCTGTTGTCAGTCCAGCATTCAAGGTCCTTGATGATGTAAGTCAGTGTTTTGCAACCTTTTTCAGCCCATGGACCATTTTTTCCTTCAAGAATTTCAAATGGACCACTCCTACTTTTACTTTTAGACTGTTCAATTTTTACACTAAAATACTCAATGAAAAGACAAAGTAGTCTATTTACACTTTAAAATTTATTTTAGTAAACAAAGATAAATACAGGATATCAAAATCAAGTGATATTAGCTGTTGGTTCAGACATTCTTACAACTGTTCTGAAAAATAATAATTACTTTATTTCTACGTCTAGGGTTACGTCTAGATTTAACAAACAACGTTCACCTACCTTACAGAAAACCTAATACTAATCCCCTGTATGTACACCCTAAGTCAAACCACCCTTCATCTATAATTAAGCATATACCTACATCAATAGAGAAAAGAATCAGTATGAACTCAGCAAATAAGGAAATATTCAGACAACACAGTAGCTTTTATAACATAGCCCTGAAAAATAGCAGATACAAAAACGCTGACATAAGCTATAGAAACGATAGTACCAATAATAAGAAAAACAGGAAAAGAAAGATCATCTGGTATACCCCTCCGTACAACCAAATGGTCAGTACCAAACTAGGCCATAGGTTCCTAGCTTTAATTGAAAATCACTTTCCCACTAATAGCAAACTTAGTGAGATCTTTAACAAAAACACCTTAAAATTGAGTTACAGCTGCACTGAAAATCTAGAAAGAATCATAAAAAGACATGATAAGAAAATCCTAGAAAAACATGCATGCCAAAGCAGTAATAAAACTTATAAACTAAAATTAGATAAAAATGACGAAAAATTATGTGATTGTAGAAACCCTAAAGACTGCCCGTTGGAAAATAAATGCCTCACAGAATCCGTGGTATATCAATGCACTATCTCATCCATTGAGAGTCCTAACACTGATAGGATATACATAGGGTCAATGAAGAATAAATTTAAAATTAGATGGAGGCAACACAAGAGCTCCTTCAACAATATTCAAAATAGAAATCAGACATCTCTATCCCAATATTTCTGGCATCTAAAAGAAACGAATAAAACACCAAAAGTAAAATGGAAAATAGTAAATAGAACAAGAACTTGTAAAACCTGGGATGACCCATGCCCTTTATGCCTACACGAAAAACTACACATCATTAAGTTTCTAAATAATGAAAAATTATTAAACCATAGGCAGGAGTTAACGGTTTTTTGCCGACATCAACAAATTTTCGCATTAAATAATTAGCATAAAAAAAAAATCTCATAGTTTAATGAAAGTCTTAAAAGCTTAGCCAAATCATTAAATAGGAAAAAACCCTTTCTGTAGTCATCAAAAAACAATTTGAAATTCAGTGTAATACGGTTTGTATATAAAACACCCACTTGAATAAACAAATAAATAAAGAGATAATCACATAGACAATAATAAAACAAAATCCTCCTGACACATAACGACTTGTAGTCGTGTCATAAAATATCCCTCACTGGGAACTAACTAGAGGATGACCGCCAACATTAGCCTTTAAATAGATACCCTACCCAACCTGAGCAAAACCTCTCAGAAGATGATGAATCTATAGATAAGAATTAACTCTCTGACCACTTAACGAAGATAACTCGCCTAGCCACTTCCACAATAACGAATGTTATAACGAACCATGCCTAAAAACATGCGTAAACCAAGAGATAGAGATGACATGACTCTAATTTGTATTCAGATACATTGTATTTATTTTAATTTTTTAAAGTTAAATTGTACACCTATATTGCATATGATCCATTATTGTAAATTAAATTCTAATATAATTTGTATTTTATATGAATACTACCTTATAAAAATTGAGATGAACTAAAGTAGAGGCCCCATATTATTAATATCTTACTATTATAGGATGAATTTTGACATTATCCTGGGGCCATTTATTTTTTGCCTAATCTCTGAATTTGTTTTGCTCTCTAAAAAAACACTAGATAAAATTCACTATTTTTTTATCCATAATGTTGAATGTGTTAAAATTCTTCAAATTTCAAAATGAAAAAACATTATTGATTTATTTAAGATGGAATTATCTATAATGACATGTCTCTAATTTGTATCTAGATACATTCTGTTTATTTTCAAGTTTTTCTAGTTGAATTCTTTATCTACATTGCATATGATCCATTATTGCACATAATTAGGTTACAATAAAATTTGTATTTTATTTGAATACTACGTTATGAAAATTGAGATGCAGTAGAGTGGGTGTCCTATATTATAAGTAGGAGTGGATTGTATCATAGATTTGGTGTGTGTGTGTGTGCAAGAGACCCTTTCACCAGATCTGGGGCTACTTTACAATGGACAAAGTGGGGGTTGAGAACTTTCAGAATAAAATGTAATCAATATTTTCAAAAGAAATGGATTTCAACATCTTGAGGAATTGTACATATATATAACAACATAGCCCACAAAGAGAAAGAAAAAACTTATACTTGTGGCTAGACAAGGCTCGTATAAAAAAGTAAAAAAAAACATTCATAGGATTAGTGTAGTGTGATATCCACATGGTTTGTTGGAAACTAACTAGTCCATTTGCTAGGATGAGGGAAGAAATCTCCACCGGCAGAAACAAATTCCATAAAGAATGCTGAACTGTTACATAATATCAGTCTGCCTGTATGGCAGAGGATACTGGATAATCTCCTCACAGATGGAGAGGAGTCTTGGGGTAGAAGAAATGTGATTCTGCAGGAGGATGCTGAGGATACTGTGGACCAAACATTTGAGTAACGATAAAGTTTTAAAGAAAATGGAAACAAAAAGAAATCTTATAATTAACTTCAGGAAGAGACAGTTGAAATTTATTGGGTATATAATGAGAAAAGAGGGCCTGGAAAATTTGATACTCACAGGATGGATTGAAAGCAAGAGGGACAGAAGAAAACAATGTACACCATACTTAGTGAGTTTGAATAAATGGATGATGGAACAATGTTTATGAGAAATAACAAAAACACATAATTTATTAAGAGCTACAAAGGACAGGAAATTGTGGAGAGCTATGAAGAGACATTGCACATAAAGAGAGAGTGAGCTATTCCAATTCTGAACAGAAAGAGCATGAATTTGTCTACAACAGAATGCCACCTAGTGAGTCTTCTGGAAGAATAAGTGGTTTAACTCTTTCAGTTTAAATTGGTGTGACTCTACAATAAAAAAAATTTGGATATTTTTGTTTGTATTGTCATATGACAGTAAACTCTTAAGACATTAAAAATGTTGGCCATGACTTATGAATAAAAGTGCCAGGGATATTTTACAAAAGAACTTTTCTATATCTTTATTTTCTTCTAGATTTTTAAGACTCAAACAGAAAAAATTGGCCTTTTTGGCATGACTGAAACTGAAACATATAAAACACTTGTTCTTCCCAGGTGAACAGTTCTTCTAGAATTCTTCTTCTTCTATGTGCCAATGTTTATTCAGAATATGTACAATCATGTCTCTCCACAACTTCCTATACTTTGTAACTCTAAGCAATATTTTTCCTCTTACTCTTCTTTCTGATCCCTGTTTTATCATTAATTTACACAAACTCATTGGGTAATTTACTCACTCTTTCTCTCTACTTCTCCATCCAATATATCTTATGAGTGTCAAATTCTTTTTTTAAAAATTTTTTGTTTAATCATTTCACCCCAAGAAAGGCAATAAAGCTATTAGCATGCAAAAGGTTACTGAGTGTTAGAGAATATAAGAAAAACTATTATTAAGGAAAGAGGACAATAAAAATAAGAAGAGAGAAGATAATGATTGACGTTGCACTTAAATTTTTAAAGTTCAAAGCTGACTGGGAAGCAAGAAGCCAGAAGAGAGTTCCATAAGCAATAAGTGTGATAGAAGAAACTGCTGGCATAGAACAGGATCTTGTAAATAAACAATTTAATAAATAGTATTTAATATTTTTGTTGTAAATTCTCAAGAACAAAAATGTATAAATTCACTTTCATCATATGTTTACATCTTATTACAATTTTAATATTGCTGAGGAGTGAAGGTAGTTAAAATAATAGTTGTGTCAAGGTAAAAACCATTCTTTTGGCACTTCGTTTTTTGACATGCAACAAGATCCAAGATTGCCAATTATTACATTCTGTAATGACGACCTTACATGATAAAAATTAGAAGTTACAAAACAACAAATGGAGATAAGATGTGGTTGAGATAAGTGTAAGAGATTTTATTTCCCTGTGATTTACAAAGTTCAATTGTTTTCTCACTTGGTATCATATATCAATTGTGAGAGACTGAGAGTTCGTTTGAGGTAGTAGTCGAGATAGACCCTTGGGAGAAAATCAACACTCATTATTGAATTGTAGTAGTTGAGAGTTAGTTTCTGCTGCTGCTGCTGCTGCTGCTGCTGGTTTTGTCACTGGCTGAAGGCATTGCTGTTGATGGGAACACTTTAGTGTTGCTGCTGATGGCCTGATTAATCTTGCTTGCAGTGAGGTTCATTGCTCTGTAGGTGAAATCAGTTTGGGCTTTCCAGTGAGCCAGTGGCTCAGAAACAGCTGCTATGAAAAACTGCTTGAGCCTTTTCTGTTTGGTGAGAAAAGATGTTTTATGACATTGATATTTTGGATGGTATTCCAGAAGTGAGTGCAAGAAGCCAGATGAAATTATGATCTGTTTTTATCATATGAGCTGTGGATGTTGAAGCGAGCACTTCCATTAAAGAATTGAAGTTCCAACAGGATACGATAATACACATGCTGTTGCAACAGCTATGCTGCAGACAAAGCTTTCACCTGATGAAGAATTTGGGGACAGGTATAATTTTAGGGTGGGCCAAAGCATCATTATCATTAACCCAGAATGCTCCAAGAATAACTTACAATACCACTAAATTTTGTTGGTTCTTTGCCACAATGTGGGAATGCTACATAAATATGTACCCTTGTCATATATTCCATCTTGGATTCACAACTTTTCAGTGTTTCAAAATGAACTTTAATTCAATGATATCAGATTTGAATTAACTGACCAGATAATCAATTTTAGTGGAATGATTCTGCAGTCTTTATTGATATTAACATTTCTTCTCTCTAACCATGAAAAGGAAAACTAGTGGATGTTACAAAAGATTGTCTTTGCTCACACATCTGTGTTTGTTCATGTGTTAGGAATGCATCTTCACTTAGCAGCATCAAGCAAAAGACTCTGCCTCTGTACCAACTCGTCTCTACTGATCAGTTGTACATAATTATCAATGATGTGAGCACAGTTTGAAATTTGACATAAGGTAAAAATTAGGGATTGATTTGACACTGTATTTATATTATGAACTCAACATCCACTTTTAAAATGATAAAAAAAATAATCAGTATTTTTCAATTCTGGCAAACAACATGGACAGAGGAAGGTTAACAAATGCTAATCAGCAAAAATTAGTCACAAAACATTTTCCTATTTTTTAAGGAGCAGATTGTTTTTCCTCAGTCGTGACTTGATCTGTAATGCTTGCTTAATAATTTAAAATAAATTAAAAGTGTAAAAGAGCAGGATTTTTATAAAATGCAACAATAAAGTGAACTAAAAAATAATCCAAAATGAATAATGAAAATACTTCACCTCAGAGATTCAGATGGGCAGTTTGATGTGGTGTAATGGTTAACAAGCTTGCCTCACTAGATCAATTTTGATTGAATAGCGAGTTTGGCCCTCACTGGGAGCCCCATACTTTTGGCCTTGTGCCTCATCTAAGCTATGCTTGGAAAAACATTTGGGCACTTCAGCATGGTGTAATGGTTAGCAAGCTTGTCTCACTAGATCAATTTCGATTGAATAGCGAGTTTGGCCCTCACTGGGAGCCCCATACTTTTGGCCTTGTGCCTCATCTAAGCTATGCTTGGAAAAACATTTGGGCACTTCAGCATGGTGTAATGGTTAGCAAGCTTGTCTCACTAGATCAATTTTGACTGAATAGCGAGTATGGTCCTCACTGGGAGCCCCATACTTTTGGCCTTGTGCCTCATCTAAGCTATGCTTAGAAAAACATTTGGGCACTTCAGCATGGTGTAATGGTTAGCAAACTTGTCTCACTAGATCAGTATTGATTGAATGGTCAGTTTGATTCTCACTGAGTGCCCTAATACTGAAAATTGGCACTTCAACATGGTGTAATGCTTGCATGTTTCATTAGATCATTTACAACTGAAAGTGAAGCCTCACTAGAAAATAAGCTACACTTAGAAAATCACCACTTGAATAACTGAAATACTATTATATCTAACATGGTGTAAACAAGTAACCATATGAAGCACCATAGACAAAATGTGATGTGATTGCATGAAATTATTAGTTAAATCATTTACAACTGAATAGCATTTTTAATTTCAACCTCTACCAACCTGTTTTAAGCATATTTTTTAATAAGATTTTCCATTGTCCAAGCCTGTAGATGTCATTTTCACTGTTTAACCATAACAGCCTCTAAAAAAACAGAGATATCTTCTCAAACATGTGTACCTACTAAAGTTTATAATAAGAAGAAATATTGTCAGGTTGAAAAACATCCATTAGTTGTTTAAATTAAAATCCACCACATTTGATAAATAAGCCTCTGATTAAGAAAGTTTTGAGGAGCATGGAACCATCTTTAATTGCTGTTATTCCTGGGTCCACCTTGAATGTTAGGGTCCTAGCTATAAACAAATAGTGAACCTCCAAACAAAAACAAAACTCTATGAAAGTATAAAAATACATTTTTAAAAATATTAGCAATACATTTTTATATAAAAAAAATTATCAACAATATCTATTTTTAGTAGAATTACCAACAATACATTTTATAGCAAAAATAACCAACAATACATTTTATCTGGAAGTGGTATAACTACACCATTATTATTAATACAATTGCATTCAAATTATTTAGGCATACAATTGCATTCAAATTATTTAGATTTTGGTATTAAATATCCAATAGAAGTTGATATGCCTCTAAATAAAATCAACCAACCAACCAATCAACATTAATAACTCTTTCATGACATTAATCTATATAATATCCTACAATTTCTTAAAGAAACTTCAACAAAGCTACAACATAAAACACACATATCAACGCATCTAGTAATTATGTCCACACAAACATGTATATGCACAAAAGATGAGTATTATCTACCATGTATCCAATTGTGAAAGCAGAATAACTTATATTTTTACTACTTCAAACCTCCCAAGAAAATTAAATTTTAGCATTAAACGACTCATAAGTAGTTGATATGCTGTTAAACAAACAGACTTTAAATTATAGACGATTGTATTAACAAATAATGCAAACCTAACAGTAGTGGGTCAACTATATTTTAGTATTTTTGAATAACAGAGGAAGGATATTTGATTTTGTAGAACTTATTTTCTTGTCTTTCTAGCTCTACAAACAAGGCCTTTTGTCAAGTACAAAATCAGGCTCCTTGAAGCAGAAATACCTTGAATTACATCAAGTTCTGACACTGTAAGTCAAAAAAATTTGGGTTTTTGATTTAAAAGATTCATCAAGAGTATTATTTCTTAAACTGAAGAAATATTACCAAAGTACTTTGATGATATTGTAAAAAAATCAATGAATAGACTTATTCTCCTAACCATAAAATTAATTTGTTTTTTCTTTTCACCAGCTTTGTTAATATCTTTTATGACAGTTTTTATTCATTATCCTCATCTTATTTTATCATTCACCAACATTTCAGCCCGTGTGCCAGACTGCTAGTTTCCCTCTCAACCATGTCCACATGGTCAATGACTGACTGGCTATGATCTCTGAACCAGTTACTTTTCTGACTTGCATTTGGTTGCCAAGTGATTCTTGCCTCAGCACTTCAGACACGGTTTTCCATAAACTGAACATTGTTCCCTACTTGGTTCATGGCAACAAGTACAGAACCACCTTTCATTTCTGGGTTTTAGTTTTCTCCGTGGACTCTTCTGCATCTTCGTAGCAACCTTGTGTACTTGTTCTGGTCTCAAAGCTCAAGACTTTTGAGGAGCATTCTCCATTAATTTGCAGATGTCAATGAACCTCTGCAATATTAACTGTCACTTTTTGCAATTCTGCTTGTGTTTGGGGGTTCTGTATCCCCAAAACAATTCGGTCATGTAGTATTCGCACCATGCAATTGTCACAAAAGCCACATGTTTTTATCAACGTTTGCAATGCAATTATAAAACCTTCCATGCTCACAGACTTTTCTTGTTTCTTTGTGTGAGATGCAAAATATTCATACATGACATTAGTTTCACCAACTGCATACCTGTGTCTGCTGTTTGTCAAGTACAAGAAAATGGAAACCATTACATACCTTTAATATGTCATCTCTCAACATGTGAAAAAGTAACACAGTTTGTTACTGTAGTTGCTGGCCATATAAATACATAATAATGGTAGTTATACCATTTCCATTTAAACAGTTTCCAATTTTTGCCATTCAAACACAGCGGCTGGGGTAGCCTTATGCCTACTACTGGCATCTGAGCATGTAATTCATTACAATCTGGGTCTGCCATCTTTTTTCAGACCAACGTTGTTATATTTTTTTTCACAACATCAATACAAGAATATGAAAAATAACATGTATCTCTTTTCATCTACACAGTTATCTTTTCCCTTTTGTTGTTCTGTAGTCACTGAACTAATATACTGCTGCCAACATATTCCACACTAATTATCTGCCTATGGCCACTCACACTAAACAACATGAGTTAACCTGTACATCTTCACAGTAGTCTACCTTATTTCAAACTGCCCATACTCCTACATCAAATGACTCTCCTTAAATCTTTCTCAAGGCACTAATAATAATGAAAACCATTCAGCATTTTAAAGATATATTTTGAAATGGTTCTGTTTTGAAAGGTCATTAAATTGTTCCATACTCTGTGTTCTTGCAGAACAAGAACTAATGTTGTCAAATTATATGAAGAACATGCTTCGAGGACTGTCCAACTTCACAGACTTTCAGAGCAGCTGGATAAGGCCAATGAATATCCCAAGAACATCACAATGGATACAGAAGCTAACAAGTTACGAGACACCTTGCTTAGATACAGAAACAGGGATTCTGAAGTGAATGAACGTTTGTATCATTTAGAATTCAAGATAGAATGGTAAGTGATTTCATGTTTTGGAGATTCATTCCCAATGTTTTAAGTATCATTGATTTTACATTAATATGAATAGACTTCAAGGACACATGGCACAGTGGATAAAGGCGTTGGTTAGATCCAGTGACAGGACCCAAAGAGTGTGAGTTAAGGCAGTGGAGAACTTTCAGAGGGAAATTAACAGGAAATAACTGATAATTGACATCCATTAAACATGGCACGTAGAACTAGAACAGTCTACCCCAGTGATCAAAATAAAGGGTTCGGTTTGACATTCCAACCACCTGAAGAAGGCCGGAGTGTACAACGGCCGAAACGTTGTGATAAATATGGCAACAAAGATGAGGACAATAGTCTGAATAATGTAAATAATGTACATAATAACTCATCTCAGAAATATAGACAGACTATGAATAGACTTGTTTATTTTATGATAAGAACATTTCAGCATACCAATGTGCCTTGAAAATCTGCATTTAAATATTGGCATTTATTAGGACTATAAAAATGCTATAATAAAAAAAAAAAATCTGTATTCAGAAAAGTACCATTTAAAAGAAGTAGTGTAAGGGAAATAGTGAAAGGTAGGCAAACGAATCCATTACATTCGCTTATGTGCTAATACCCTTGGGAAAGCTATGAATCCTCTTCTTCTTCTTTCCCCAGCTGTGGGTAAATAGCAGGACAGACAGGGTTCTATAGCCTTGGAGGGCAGTTGGTCTATCACAGAAAGAAATGGCAACCTACTGTGGGAAAAAACCTGCCTCGTTAGTTATGTATCGAAAGATAAATGATTGCCTAAGCGTGTATCACGCATGGCACATAAGTGACTGACATGTTCAGAATTCTTGAAACATTATTTTTCAGTAAAGGTAGGAAATTTATATGTGTGCAAACATTTTGATGAACATAGGGTCAGAAATCAGTTTCATTGGTTTAGATGCTTGTTGTAGTGCAGTGGTTAGCAAATTCATTTTGAAGACCAATTTTTTGGAGATTGATTTTCACTAGGTGTCCTGCTCCTGTGGTTTGTGCTAAAATAAGTTGGTTTGTGCCATAGCTGAAAAAGTTGAGTATTTACCAAAATTGTCATCCAACCAATTATAAACTAAAAATTCAAATGTTGGCCCAGTGTTAAGCATGAGGAATATCCAACTTCATTCAATAGTTCCATGATTAAAGGTCAGTGTGGTTAGTCCTGTGATTAGAGAGCACTAGGATTGATCCTATAGTTGACCATATAAAAAATGGCTATTAATGTTAGTCCTATACTTGAAGAATACTGAGATTGGTTCCACAATTGAAAACCATTGGAGTGAGTCATGATTACAGAGCATTAGGGTTGGACCTGTAGGAATACAAAAGGCAATTATCTTCCTTTGATTGAGATGAAATCATGTGGGTCATGTGATGGCTACTTAGTGACATCATTACTTGTTGCATAAATATGTTATATTTTCTCTGTATGGGGCAAATGTACATATGTGTATATAATTTGTGTATGACTTAGTTGTATAAAACTCTCTCTGTGAACAAAGCATGTTTGCCATTGCCTTTTCTTTCAGCTATTGTGTTCCTTCTGGAAAATGCAAATTGGGAGAATATTCCTTTCTTCCATAGCTTACCCATTAGCGCCATGAAAAAAGACTGGGTTAGTCTTATTATTGGCAGGTATTATTGATCCCATAAAAGAAGTTCCCAATTTCAGGTAATTGGCATTCTATGATTTGGGGGTGTGGGGAGGCATAAGGATATACCCATGATTGGAGGACACTAAGGTGGGTCCCATGATCAGAAGCCATTCAAGTACAATGCTAGATTTGGTTGTCAGTGTCTGGCATAATTTTATCAATCCTTATTTCTTTTGATTTCTATAATTTGGCCAGTTTTTCAAATAAATTTATAGTGTGAAAGTAAATAAATATTTTTTTCCAGTAATCAAACACTGTTTTTTTTACTCAATTTCAATTATATATGTAGAAAAAAAGATTCTCTAACAAATATAGGTAAATATAGACATGATGAGATAATTTATTTGAAAGGCTATTTAGAGAAAAACTATTGGCACCAGCAGGTGAATATGCCGTTAACTTGATCACCAAACAGGATGTTTTGCTTCACCTCCATATACACTTTTAATGCTGATATGAAACAAAGATAAAGGTTAGATTAAATTAGTTAATTTAACAACATATCAAACCTTTCTAATAAAGAAAGAATGTGACAGTAAGGCTTCTACAGCAGCAGCATTAACAGCTGTAGCAAAAGCAAAAATCTTCAATGAGTGTGGTCAAGCAAGCAGTGATGTGCAGAGGTTTAGTGATATCTGGGGCTAACATCTTGATTGTATGCCCCTATGACACATTTACACCAATGAATTTAACAGACAATTTAAAAATCTAAATTTTTATTTTACTCTTTGATTGGACGCCCTCCCAATATGGATTCTTGGAGCTGTTTCACCTTCTAGTGCTTACCTCCTTTTACATTCATACAACAACCTCCTTCAGTAATCCTCTACCTTGAGTGGTTCTTGGGCTTTGTAGTGAGTGTGAAAATAGTAAAAATGTGTAAACTGAACCTGTGTCTACCATTATGTCTCTAACATTGAGTATTACTATGCCACCAAAGAAACATACTTAACATCAGGAAGTCACAGTTGAGGTTTCTGGGGCACATCATGAGGAAGGAGGGCTTGGAAAATCTGATACTCACAAGACCAATAAACAAGTGGCTTTTAAGTCTATCAACAGAGTCGTCTGACTTAGCCATTGACTTGAAACATTGAAACCCTCAGCCCAGCAGTGCTGTGTCATCACTGCTCATGATACACTGTCAGTAGTTCAGTCCCATGTACAGATTTAGTCTGCTGCTAGTCAAAATCCACTGTAGATATTATCCCTCTGTTGAACTACCCACAGAGCCTCTACAAATAGAATTACTAGCATAGTTCAATGCCAGTGTTGATGAACTAAGGGTTTTTTTCTGGTCTGTATTAGAGTCAAAAAGGTAGATATATGTCTTGATAGCGCTTCAGTCGAAATTCTAAAAATAGATCTGGTTAATGCTAGAGTCAAAAAAGTAGGCATACATCCAGTTTACATTAGAGTCAAAAAGGTAGACGCAGGTCTGGGTTACACTAGGGTCTAAAAGGTAGACACAGGTCTGGTTTACACTAGGGCCTAAAAAGTAGACACAAGTCTGGTTTGCACTAGGCTTAAAAAGGTAGACACAGGTCTGGTTTTGTAGATAGATTGCTAATTAAGATTAAAGAGCTTCTATCTGCTCATGAGGTAAGGATGTAGAGATACAAAAGTTGATTATCTCCTTTTCGTGGAGATAAGTCATAGGGTCATGTGACGGCTGCTTAGTGACATCCTTTCATACAGTGATGAAAGTGGTAGTCTGTTTACAGCAGCCAAACAACAGTTTCTATTTTAGCCTTGGCCAGATGGCCTGGGCTGAGACTAAATATGCCTCCCCCAGCAGCTTACAAGCACATGGTGCCATTTCCTTTTGCGAATATATCTTCCCCAGATATAGAAAGAAACTTGCAATCCTCAATCTGGAAAAACCCAAGACTCACTGTTTCCCTTTGTGGAATATGTCCTCACCTGGGACATAGTAGATGAATTCAGCCCATTTGAATCTGGAGTCCTAAACATGGTCTCTCTAGACATAAGAGTATCTCCATGTTATACATAAGACTTTTTCTTTGTTTTTCTCCTTAAATTCTGTCATTGTATATATATGTGATATATTATTCTTTACACAGAACACTTGTATATATAGTTTTGTATATGTCTTAGTGGTATAAAAGTCTCTTTGAGAACAAAGCATGTTTGTTGTTCCCTTTTCCTTTCAGCTTTTCTGTTTCATCTTTGAAGTATGATATTAATATATCATGGATATAATAATGCTCATAATGGGGGAAATTAAAATGGGAGAATAAATCATTCTTCCCTTGATACCCCCTGTTATAAGGACATGGGATTTACCTATTAGCACAACCATTGACAGCTTGTAAACACTTTTGTCAACTCAGTTTCACGCACAAGACTTGGGTTAAATGACGGTATAGTTTTCAGGCAATTACAAAAATAAAATAAAAAAAATAAACAAACAAATATTAAATGGATTACTTAGTGGTTGTAGAGTCTTGTTTGTCCATTTCAAGTTGATTTCAGGAAATATTTATTTGAAGTGGTTGTATTTATTGTAATAAATAAATAATAGTAATTTTCATTCATCCTTTTAGCATGGAAGATGAAAAGGCAATTTTGCAAAAAGAAGCATCTCGTTTGCCTAAAGAGGGGGTGAGTTGTTGTTAATTTTCTAATGTCATTTTTATGTTTACATTGTTATTAAACTGTCTGATCAAAAAGTATCAGGTTTGTTGCTATGGTAACAGGGCTAAAGTATGCAGCATGAAGCCTCTTGGCCCAAATTGACCTTTAACTCTGCTGCACATACACACTAAGTTATAATGTTCTTGCTCACTTAGTGCTTGGAAGAAAGGTGTGTAGAGTGTGGTCATCTCACCACACTGCAGTGTTTCTTTTGGTGACCATGGCGTGTGCAGCAGTTTTTGGCCAAGGATAACGTTTCCCAGGTCCAGCAACCATCATATTTCCCAGATCTCATCCCTTGTGACTTTTTTCTCTTCAAAATTCAAATTCCACTTGAAAGATTTCAAGATGTCGAAGAAATCCAAGAAAATGTGCTGAGGTAGCTGTTCACTATACCACAAAAAGGAGTTTCAGGAATAGCTTCATCATTGGAAATGACACTAGATAAAGTGTGTGGATTCAGAAGGGGACTAAATGCAGAATTGTTATGTGTTGTAGTTTTCATTTTGTAGCACCAGTCGTAATACTTTTTTATCAGACCTCATATTTTTATCTATCTATCTATATATATATATATTGTAATAATAATGTTATATACTGCATATGTTTGCCTGTGAGGCAGAAAGAAAAGGAGACAAGATGTGTTAAAATAAAATTATCTGTATTGCCAGTATAAAGGATCAAGGTAGAATGTCTCTTTGTCAGTGAAGGAACTGACCAGGAGGATAGGAATATCAGTAGTATACCAACCTGACATTGAAGCTTGTGTTCTATTGGTTGACCCAGGTTCACTGGTTAACTACTTACTGCCTTGAGTGTCATGAGTGGGTCCTTTTAAGCTGTCAGGGTGAATACAGACTCAGCAGTTTTTCATATACTTTTTACTTTATTGGGAATGTTCATTATTGGCTCTGATGTTTAAAATATTTTATATTATTTGCAGGGATTTGTTTTGTAAGCTGGATACAATACTCCTGTGCAGAGAGTGACTTTTTTTATTTTTAATTTTGCTTTTGTAGTATTCACATCCAGCCAACAGGTTTTGATGGGGAGTGAATCAGAAAGAGATCTAATTTAAAGGAGAATTTAATAATAATGTTTTAGGGTCTATCAAACAAGCAATTACTGAAGGATAACATGTTTAAGGCAAGCAGAGTTTTGTAAATAAAGTGCTCAGTATTAAAAAATAGAGCATTAATAATCAGTTGTTGAATAAAATGTTCAATGATTTGGAATTTCAAGGACACATAAAAAGCAAAAAAATATAGTTTCCCAAGAATGCAATCAATAATTTTGACTATTATGATGATTTCTTCTTCTTTATGTGCCATGTCCCTTCAGGACAGGCAATCATGTCTCTCAACAATTTCCTGCCCTTTGTAGCTCTAAATAAACTTTGTATTTTTGTTAATTCTTTTAAGCCCTGTTCTGCCATGTTCTGCCATCCATTTACTAAAGCTCATTATGTATGTTTTGTTTTCCTCTATCAAAATATCAGTGGTTAAAGCCATAAAGTTTTGTACAAAATATTTGGATTTTGGCATTGAGTGGTCCATGGAGGTTGTCATGCCACTGAACAAAATCAACCAACCAACTGTTTCAGGATTAATAACCTATAGCGGTTGATATGATGGTTAAATAACTAACCAATCAATCAATCCTCTGTCTCTCTTGCCTTCAATCTATCCTGTGAGTATCATATTTTCCAAGCCCTCTTTCCTCATTATGTGCCCTAGAAATTTCAACTGTCTCTTCCTGATGTTAAATATAAGTTTCTTTTTTGTTTCCATTTTCTCTAAAATTTTGTTATTGTTCACATAATTGGTCCTTCTAGTAGAACAATATTTCTGTTGCTTGAGGAGATTGCTTGAAGAGATTTAGTACTCTTTTATTTAATAAACTATGAATATTTAGTTTATACTTCAGGGGTAAATTACAAAGACAAACTTATTGAAGATGATCTTAGAAAAGGTCAAAAGTACTTGGGTTAAAAAACTACACCAACTTCCTTGATGAATTTCCTGTAAACATTAAGAAACTAAGTAGACAACTGGAAAGGATCAGTATAAAAATAAGTAGACACAATATGTCTGTATCATTCAATGAAACATATTTGAATGAAGTTATGCTGCATATATATATATATATATATATATATATATACAAGGTTTAATAAAAAACAAATGCTAAATGCTAAGAGACAGAAACACATTACTGGAGAGGAAATTACACCAAACAAGGCAATGAGGCTATAAAGATGCAGTGGGTTATGGAGTATGCAAAAAGAAAAACATTAAGGAGTGAGAACACTAAAAGAGAAGGAATTAAGAACAGAAAAGATAACGATTGACATTGCATTTAAATTTTTGAAGGTCAAAGTTGACTGGAAAGCAAGAAGTTGGAAGAGAGTTCCACAATTGAGAAGTGCAAGAGAAGAAACTGTTAGCATAGAACTTACGGTTACATCTAGCCAGGGATGGTGCGTACTACCCCAGTTCCTCACAACAAGCAGTGACTTGTGACCCTCACTATCTTATCACCATTTACTTTTTTCTACCTACATTTATATACATTACAAATTAAACTAAGCACAACTGAATATTAAAAGATTAAAAAATTTTTGCAGATTTTGACATCATTCTGGTGTCTTTTTTTATCCTTTAAATCCTTGAATTTGTTTTGATCATGCTATCGATAATGTTGAATGTGTCAAATTATTCAAAATTTTAAGAAGAAAAATTTTGTTAAAAATTGATGCAAAACATTCTTGATTTAGTTATAGACGAAATGATCTATTATGAGATGTCTCTAATGTGTATTTAGGTTGAAGGAGGGTTAATGCCACCAATGAAACGGGTTTACCGATCTGTAAAAAGTTGATGGTAATGTGATTAACTTGCTACTTTATTTTTTTTATTTATTTAAGACGGAATGATCTATTATGAAATGTCGCCAAGTTGTATTTAGATACATTGTATTCTTTTAGTTGAATTGTTCACCTATATTGCAGAAAATCTATTGTTGTGCATAATTAGGTTACAATGAAATTTGTAATTTATATGAATACTACCTTATGAAAATTGTGATGTAGTAGAGTGGGAGATCCCCATATCATAGAATTGAGTGGGGGGTAAGAGACCCTTGCACCAACCCTGCAACTAGCCAATTAAATGGTAATTCAATCAAGCCCCCTTTTCTCATTGTGTTCCAGAAATTTCAAATGTTTTGAATTATTACAAGAGGCCATTCTGTTCTCCCCTACAAGCAAGAGTTCTTTCCCTTGGATCAGTGTAACAAAACACAAATACAACACCTTCTTCCTTTTAGTCAAATACAATAACAATGCAACTTAAGTGAACACAAATAATACTTTGAAAACTTTGAAAACTTATTAACTTTAATTTGTTTTCGTTTGTCTGGATTCAAGAGAGTATTCTTGGACATTGGAATGGATATTAATTCTACCAACAACAATTCTAACAGTAAAACAAGGATTTTTTTCCTAGTTCGAATTGAGTTGCTTGATATGATGCTGCAACACCATAATGACAAATACATGATACAGCAAATAATCAATATTATCCACAGTCAAGTGAAAGGCTTTTATTGTGACACTATATGAAACTGGTGAAAGAAAAGGGTTAATTTGAAATGTAAACTGGAACAGATGAAAAGGGTTAATTTAGAATATGAAATGGAGCAGACAGAGAGAGTCAAAAAGGTGACATAAGATGTAGATTATGTCTTATGATTCCCCGGTGGAAAAGGAGGTCAATTGAGTATAATATTTGATAATTTTGAAGATGTGGACAGATCAAGAGATAGGAATTTATATCGAATTGAAGAAATTAGAATGAGAAACGCAACTGTAACGTTGTCTACATGATAAGCTGAGCGTTGTGAAAGCAGTATAACTGGTTGGGGATGCACTAGACCAGACCAAGCCTGGGAAAATGATATTTGTTATGGAAAATCAATGATTAAAATAAGACAGCCCCTTTGCTCACTTGGATCAAAACTCTTCATTCCTCTGCAGACAGTAGAAATCTGTGACAAAGTATCTAATGTGACCATCGTTTTTCTTGATTGATACTCAGCAATCAGCTTGTAAACATCAATTGAATGAGCATGTGTTAACATTTCACTGGTGTTTCTGACAGATTTTTGGAGTTGATGAGTGGAATCAGTGTCTTGTGGTTACTGTAGAGCAGCATTTCTCAACCTTTTTATCCTTGTGCCAGTCTCGGAATAGTTTTTATGTCTCAGGGAATCCTCAAATATTATTATATAACATTATTAATATCTATCTCTTATATTTTATTATAATAACCAAAAATCTTCCAACAATATGCCATAAGACTTAGTAACCTCTTACTGAACTCTAGTTATGGGGAGCACTGGGTGAGAAACACTGTTGTAGAGAATAAAGCTCTCTAGTTCCCTCAGGTATCTGTCAAAATATTTGCAAGTCCACACTGCTGCAAGGCACTCTTTTTCTATTTGGGCGTATCTCTGTTCTATGATTGACAATGTTCTGGAACAGAACGCTACCAGTCTTTTTGCTCTTGAAGAAAGCATTGACCCAGTCCATACAAAGAAGTGTCAACTTTGATGATAGTTTGCCTGGTTGGATCGAAGTAGACAAGGACCTGTGCTGTTGTAAGCATTTCCTTTATTTTTTGGAATGCTTTGGCTTGCTGTGGACCTCATGTTCATGCTATCTCATTGCCCAATAGTTTGTTGAGTGACTTCAGAACAGTAGAGAAAAGAGAAAGATACCCAACCAGGTAGTTCACCATACTTAAGTATCATATGAGTTTGGCAATATCAGATGGTTCAAGTATGTTTTGGATTGCTTTGATTTTGGTCTAATCTGGGCAGCAGCCATGTGAGTTGATAACATGTCCAAGAAAAGTAATTTTGGTCTTTCAGTACTTGCACTTGCCCTTGTTTAGAGTGAGGCCTAC